ATAGATCAAAAGAAAAATTTTGTAAGGAATTAGATGGATGTCACATCTGAAGTTTTAAATATCTGATTCATACTTCCAAACATTCCTTCATCTTTCAGGTATTATGACCACCATGGATATGTAATACAATACAACAAATTTACCACTGCTTCTACATTTGTTATTGAAAAAGGTACCACTTGGACCTGACACAATCTTCCAAAACCACTCAACATCCTGACATCAGTGTAAGTAAGCAGTTATATCTTTTTAACCATGAGTGATTTTTAGGCATAATGCTGCTGTAAATTACATTAAACGTAGTCTGAATGCTAACTCTTGCATGGGTCACAACACTTTCACGTTTTCATCTTCGGAGGAATTCCGACTCGACCGCGACCAAGTGAAAAAATAAAAATAAGAAAATAGCTAGGCCGTCTAAAGCCTTAATGTTGTATAAATGATTGAGACGTAGACGATTGTCTATGGAAACAGTTTTAAATGTTTCATGGCAACATACGTAAGATGGGCAGATATACTTAACGCGGAAGGACTTCATCAATGCACTCCGTTGGCGTTGAAGAGCATCTTTCAGAGATGAATACATCCGCTGGTATGAATTGATAGTTAGTTTTATGACTAACAAAATGTAGAAAAGATATCCTTAATAATTCGTGAATAGGTAACACAAACATTAGTATAAATACTAATCTAATTAAAGTGCTGAAGGTTACCTTGATAATTTTGAAGTCTGACACATCATTATTTTTAGTCCACACGCACGTGTTATTTTTGTTGTATTCTTGTTTCCAGCCATCTTTTTCGTCACACAAAGTCTTCAATCTTTTAAAATCAGCATCTTCTGCCACTCTCACTTCACCGACCTGCATATTGGGCTATATTTGTTGCCTCTGTGATGTTGTTACGGTTTTCAGCGCAGAGTAAACAACCGATCCTGAAAACGCCACACGGTGACTTGTCACTCGTAGCCGGAAGTAGGTCGAAGCTATTTATCGTAAATTAGAAACGGAGTAGGGAACTGAATTTTTTCCCGGTGATTTTCTTCAATGACCCGAGATAACATGACCGTCTAATTCAAAATAGATGTATACATGTTCATCCCCATTAATAACTCAATAATATTCTCAGTTTTATTTTGCGACACCACTCTGTAAATACATTTTGCACAATGTCAATTATTTAAGAAACGAAAAATGACTCTACACAAAGATGAAACGGGACAAAAGTCTTAGCTGAAACCAATTCATTAATGCAGTACCATAGATTTTTTATTGTAAACAGTATATTCATTACAGGGAGAAACATTTTTATGAAAATAAATCAAATGAAGAGTGAAAAAGAAACGAATAGCGTTGTTGATATTCATATACAAGTTGTTGAGACATAAATTAGTTTTAGAAACTAAAACAAAAAGTTAAAATATTTTTCAAACGATCATGTCAATCAAACAGTAAGAACGAAGTTTAAATTAAACGCATATTCAAAACAATACAAGGAAATAAATTATCAGAATGAAACATTAGTATCTCTTACATGTCTTCGCAAACTTAGATACCATCATCTCTCCAACATAGGTTCTAAAGGTCTGTCTCGTGCGAGAGACCTGAATAAATTTAATTCTTTAGCATTGATTTATGTCATCACAGGGGAAGATCCGAGCAACCTGTTTCGATGCTCCAAAATTCATGGTGGTTGTGTCTCTGAAGGAAACTGAGAAGTGGACAAGACTGTGCTGATGTGATTTGTATCCTTGGATAAGACACGTTACCCTTATTACCGAAAGCGAGGTATAGACCCCACCCAAGTTGACCTGGCCGCATGTTCACAGGACGACAAACAAAAACATAAACCAATAAAAATTGACAATATCGGCAAAGAAACCGAACAACAAGTCTGAATCTTAAAACCGTTCACACATTGGTATAAACTTCCTTATTTCCGTGTGTACCTTTTCCTTAACCAAGCGTTCAACATGGTGGTGTCAATGAAAAAAGATTCTGCGATATGTGTGTTTGATGTTCGTTACTTTTACTGTTGGTTCCCTTGTTATTTCCCTTTTTCTCATTTGAGAACGTGACATAACTCAGACTAGATTTACATGGCAGGTGCCGTCGATGAAGCAGAAGACGCTTACACTTCCGGATCATCCGGTCTTACCCCCACCCCCTTGTACGAATGTCCGTGTAAGTTTTACTTTTGTTCATATTTTTTTCTAGTTTTATTGAATTTGAGTTTGAATTATGATTATATTGTCTTGTTGTACATTGTAATGCTGTGTATTCTAAACACTAGAAAGTGTTAATTACACAACATTATATTGATACATCAGTTACATCGGATTCTTAATCTGAAATGACATAGACACACACACTCTCTCTCTCTCTCTCTCTCTCTCTCTCTCTCTCTCTCTCTCGCTCTCTCTCTCTCTCTCTCTCTCTCTCTCTCTCTCTCTCTCTCTCTCTGTCAGAATCAAATTCGAAATACAATACAATGTACAAAACACCACATCAATTCTGCGCAATCATCATCTTAACTATGAGGGCTTGCGTCAGGGATTGAAAACTTTGTGATTCCTAGGATGAAAATATCAGGTGACGAGGATGTTGATTCTAGATTGTTGGAAATCGGACTACTTGGCTTATATACCTTGAATAATCTAATAGGGTGACGAGCAACTTTAGAGAATTAAAACTATTATTAAATATGAAACCATACAAGGTCGCTGGTGTCGAAGGTAAGTACGGAATGTTTCGTAACAAGTATGGGAAAAGGGTGATTGTGATTAGCGTGAAAGTAAATCCAAACAGTTTAGATCCTCGGAAACAACTAGAATACCGCGGATAGAAAATACGTGTGGTACACGTGCACATTTGTCAAGAGTTGCCATGAAGAATCATGACAAACATATAAACAGAATAGACATACGTATAATTAATTTAATCGAAAATTGATCTGCGATCTACAGAGGGTGCCGGACATTGTGAACTGTCCCGTCGGAGGGTAAACTACAGATGATGTCGGACATTGTATACTGTCCCGTCGGAGGGTAAACTACAGAGGATGGCGGACATTGTATACTGTCCCGTCCGAGGGTAAACTACAAAGGATGGCGGACATTGTATACTGTCCTGTCAGAGGGTAAACTACAGAGGATGGCGGACATTGTATACTGTCCCGTCCGAGGGTAAACTACAGAGGATGTCGGACATTGTATGCTGTCCCGTCGGAGGGTAAACTACAGAGGATGCCGGACATTGTATACTGTCCTATCGGAGGGTAAACTACAGAGGATGTCGGACATTGTAAATTGTCCCGTCGGAAGGTAAACTACAGAGGATGTCGAACATTGTATACTGTCCCGTCGGAAGGTAAACTACAGAGGATGTCGGACATTGTATACTGTCCCGTCGGAGGGTAAACTACAGAGGATGTCGGACATTGTAAATTGTCCCGTCGGAAGGTAAACTACAGAGGATGTCGAACATTGTATACTGTCCCGTCGGAAGGTAAACTACAGAGGATGTCGGACATTGTATACTGTCCCGTCCGAGGGTAAACTACAGAGGATGTCGGACATTGTATACTGTCCTATCGGAGGGTAAACTACAGAGGATGTCGGACATTGTAAATTGTCCCGTCGGAAGGTAAACTACAGAGGATGTCGAACATTGTATACTGTCCCGTCGGAAGGTAAACTACAGAGGATGTCGGACATTGTATACTGTCCCGTCGGAGGGTAAACTACAGAGGATGTCGGACATTGTAAATTGTCCCGTCGGAAGGTAAACTACAGAGGATGTCGAACATTGTATACTGTCCCGTCGGAAGGTAAACTACAGAGGATGTCGGACATTGTATACTGTCCCGTCCGAGGGTAAACTACAGAGGATGTCGGACATTGTATACTGTCCTATTGGAGGGTAAACTACAGAGGATGTCGGACATTGTATACTGTCCCGTCGGAGGGTAAACTACAGAGGATGTCGGACATTGTATACTGTCCCGTCGGAGAGTAAACTACAGAGGATGTCGGACATTGTATACTGTCCCGTCGGAGGGTAAACTACAGAGGATGTCGGACATTGTATACTGTCCCGTCGGAGGGTAAACTACAGAGGATGTCGGACATTGTATACTGTCCCGTCGGAGGGTAAACTACAGAGGATGTCGGACATTGTAAATTGTCCCGTCGGAGAGTAAACTACAGAGGATGTCGGACATTGTATACTGTCCCGTCGGAGGGTAAACTACAGAGGATGTCGGACATTGTATACTGTCCCGTCGGAGGGTAAACTACAGAGGATGTCGGACATTGTATACTGTCCCGTCGGAGGGTAAACTACAGAGGATGTCGGACATTGTAAATTGTCCCGTCGGAGAGTAAACTACAGAGGATGTCGGACATTGTATACTGTCCCGTCGGAGGGTAAACTTATTCTATTGTGCAACTATGGTTTCTCTCAGCAATGCACATATTAAGCTTCTTCTCAACTTTTAGTGGTTGGATTTAGTTGAAACTGTTAGAAATGATCCTGAGATGGTCCAGACCAAGTGTTGTTATTCTCTGGTCAATCTGAAATGGTTTACGTTTCCATCAGTGAGTGGTCTATAGCTATCGATCTGTTGTAAAATGTTTAAATCCTTGTCTGGATGTCGACCTTTGCAAGAGGCGCTAAAATTTCGTGTTTTCGTACAGGGAGATATTCTGGCTATCGATCGCGACTCTGAAAAAAAAATAAAATCCGGGATAGTTAGTCAGAACCCTTGGACTTATGATAGCCATGCAAAGTGAAACATTGGTAGAGAACATGAAAATATTGTGTGTGCTATGAATTCATTTTAGTTCAATATTTGACATTTGAATTATCAAAAAAAAAATAATAAAATAAAAAAAATCTCTAGCCTTGCTGGGCGTCGAACCCTATATTTTTACCGGAATTGGATGGATCTAGTCCTTCCTACATCACAGCGAGGTTTTGTAAACTTCCGGTGAATAATACCCGGGTTGGTTTGCCGTTTCTGATGTCAGTTATGTGTACATTTTCCTAATGCAGATCTAAAGAGAACAGTACCCAAGTAAGAGGTACGTAAGACACGACTAGTCCACTTATAAAAGTTCCAGTGATGAAGAAATATACCTTTAAATCGTCCGACCAATTGCCAAAGTAGGCGGTGGCTGTAGCAGATCAGCCCTTATAGATTCGACACTTGCCATTTTGTCTTCCCACTAAAGTACAGAAGTCTTACAGATTCGATATTTGTTATTTTATCTACCCACTAAAGTACAGAACAAGCCTCCTTCCTCTCTTTTCTTTCCAGTTTATGACATAAACACTCAAATTAGTTTAGTATATGAGCTTTTCTTGATGACTTAATCAGGTTGGAAAGAACATTGCAATTGCAAGGATGCATTGAAAGTCCAACGCGTTCTCTCATAACAGAGAATTAAAATCCTCTCAAGTAAAACACATTGATGCACAGGTAAGTCATAAAGTGTTATTTTTTATAAAAGAAATTGACAAAATGTCATTTTCTCACTCACAGACTGAGATATTTATCTGATCAGCTACATTTCCTTTCCAAGCAAAGATTTTGAAAATATTTTGTCTCCTTATTAAAAATTTGATAAACCAAACCACCATTGAATCTTGTCATTGACATTAATGAAACCATTTGTCAGAAAAATACACAATAGTACATTCTAAAAATAGATTCACATACCTGTACATTATTTTAATGTGACTGTCCATACATGTATGATTACACTGTGCGGAGTATGGTTTATTGAAGCAACAAATCAACAAATACCAAAAAGACAATATATTTATGAATTTCTTGTCTACAGATGTAATGTATAGCATGCATTTCTTGGTCAGAATATGGTGAAGATGTCATTTTGAATGGTTATTTTTAAAAGGCATTTAGTGACATACTTGTACATCAGTATGTCATGAATTTTGAATGGGTATATCCTCTGTAATGAGGAGATGTTGGAGTTCCATCACAACCTCACAAATCCAATGTTGTTTCCAACCAGTTGATAGGTGAGTTCAAAATACAAAGATATGTCTAGTTCATGTGAATGTATATACTGACCTCATCATCATAGTTATTAATGTATCTAACTTCAAAACATTCTGACAATTGTAAAGCAACAACATACAGTGATCAAGCCTTTGAGCTATATCTGTTATACCTAATGGTACAGACGTAGAAGTTGAGAATACAGATCATCTTACTTATTCTTAGCTTCTAGAAATTTTTTCAAGAGTTCTGCAGCAGAAAGAATGCCCTCCTAAAGAACAAGATGTCACAGATTTTATCCAGCATAAACAGGACATAATTCATCACTCATTCCTAAAATAGGTTTGATCCCGTTGATCACATTAAAAATAAAAGATATAGGAGACAAAGACTTGTGGAAATATGAAATGAGTGTAGGAGTTGAGATTATTGTTCACTAGTAGACTAGTAAGTCTCTGCTAGTGGGAATTTCCCTTTGGTCAAGCAGTAGCCTGTTGGCCTTGAGTGTAGAAGGTTGCCTCAGTAAGGGCAGAGAATATTTTATTACTCCCTCTTACAACACAGTTACATCATATCATCACTGACAAATGCTCTCCTGGTATCTATGATGACACTTTACTTCATGAACAATGTGACAGTTTGTGTTTCTCAGGTAGCTGTGTTTGTGGGCAATACTGCTGTTTATGTCATGTGATGGGCCTCCTGTTTGTTGTACAGTGAGGTAGCCACCAGCTATAACCAGAAGACCCTGCCTTACTCTTACGTTATTTTATATAATTATATGGCATTGAATGTATGTCTCACCAGACTCTTACATGATAAAAGACCACTTGTCAGCAGGTTTCTTATGAGACATTGTTTGCAGACTGCAACCTTTTTGCACAAAAAATAAAGATTTTATCATGGACTTTGTCCTGTTAGACAATTCAAAATGTTACGAAAAAATATCACATAATTTGCATATTTGAATTTAGAGGTTTCAAGGCATCATAAGTTTCTGACGATGTAAACTTTTAACATTGTCGGAGAAAACTTACTTGTCAGTACTACCAGGTACCAGTTATTTTATCATGTATAGCATTGAAGAAATAAATACAAATTTGGCCAGTTTTCAAACCAGGAGAAGTGTTATAATTAACAGCTGCATTATGCCTTAACAGTCAATTGTCAAAACTATTTCCCTGATGTGTTTGGACCTAGCTACCAGCAGGCCCCAACACTGAGGAGGTGAAATAATTTCAACTTCTTTAGTTTATATTAAAGGCATTTTTTTAACAACTGTTTTGTTACTTGAATAATTCAAAATAAGCAGATACAGCCAATTTAAATATAGCATGAAATTTTAACGGATTGATAGAAGCAGCCATATGCATCCTGTCATAGTTTATCTGGTAACATTGGCAATTATTATCAGATAAACACTTCATCATAATTAAATTTGCAATTACAGAGAGTTGGGTACGAAATCTGGTTCTCGTAGATCTGAGGTATAAGTGTGTTTCTATGTTGTAAGGCTGAAAGTTATGGAATCATGATATTGTGTACATGTCATGTACCAGTACATTTTCTGTAATCAATAGCAAACCTGGACGAAGTGAATGGTGATGGCCAGGAAGCTGCACTGATACTCTACATGTATCAATCAAAATATCCGAGGTCCTGACTTCGAAAATCGAATTGGTCAGAGTGGATTTTTTTGCTTCTTCTTCAGTGACCCTTTGACCTCAAACAAGTAGACCTGTCCTGAGTACTCAGATATTCTGTTTCGGGTTCGGTTTCTACATTAAATACAGAGAGATATTTTGATGACTACACTGTTATCTTCATCAGACAAATGAGCAATGTGAAGCATATTTGCATTTAGGAATACCAGGTACAAGCTTGATTTGAGTGTTCGATTGCTGTATACTGCCATGGCATCTCATTTTGATTTGTACTTCACTGTTACACTAATTTAACAACCATGACATGTGTTTTTATTACCAGAATAACTAAAACAAATTGTACTTTAATGTTGACAGGTTATTTAAGATGACAGCCATTAAGCACACTCTACATCGTGATGTCTTTCTGCCTCATGATGAACGTCTCATCGGGTTTGTCCATGTCACCAAAGTTGGGAGGAAGAAGAAAACAAGTTTTTTATGTGCTGCATGTAAGTTACAAAATTTACTTTAACTTGTAATACAAAGATTGAAGATATTTCAGATGTATATGTTATATGATAAAATGAGTCTATGTATGATACAAAGGGCTGTGATGGTAGAGTAGGCGGAGCATTGGTTTACATAATCTCAGGGAAAGATCTTAGGTATTTGTATTGCTGTTGGATGCTACTTACCTGTGGCATTTTTTGAAGCTGAGAAACAGACAATTCCATGCTGACATGATTGTGTAATCCGGCAAGACACTTCACTTATTTTTGTTCAGATGGTATGTGATGAGTCACCCGTATGTTGTTCATTAGGTAGCCAGCAGCTACTATAAGGGGTCCCAGTGTAATAATGAGTTGTTCATTGGCATTTAACCCAACAAACAATCCATATATTGCATTGTAAATTGCATTGTTATTTTATAGGATACATTTAAAATCTTAAAAATTTACAGTAGTCTTGTGTTATTTGAAATTTCAGATAAACCAAATTAATTTGTGTGAATGCATGTGTTTATTTTTCCTTCTGTTTCTTTAAGTAAATAATGATCATGAGAGCCCAATCCAGGCTAGGGTATATCAAGTGAAGAAAGCAGACAAGGGAGAGTCCTACAAGAAAAAAACTACTTGGTTGCTACGGGAACTAAAGGTCGTTGATGGCAAAAGTTCAAACAAGGTCAGCAAAGTAGAAATCTGGAATTCAAAATATTTTATTACTACATTCTTTTATTCACTTAAACAGCCATGAACCTTAAGTGCTGTTGGTACATATTTACAAAACAAAACAGTTCAGCATTGTTGTGGGAAAAAAATGAAAGTTAGTAAGCATATTAGCTTCAGAATTTTGAAACAGACTATAAGTACTTCAATGGCCACTTTAGATCTGTGCTATATTATATAAAACATTCCAGTTTACATGAGATAATTGTGGTTTAATTAAGAGATTTGACAGTGTTAGACACTAGTGTAACCATGAAGATTTGTATCATTAGAACCGTCATCATATATCACAGGAAACTGCTGAGTTTGACCTCCATTTTGAGAAAATCTACAAATGGGTAGCGAGTAGTGTATCTGACAAAGAGGCTTTCATTTCTTGTCTGTGGAAGGTAAATATCATTTCTTTTTATTGTCAAATTTTACCTTTATCTATATTTGAATCTTGGATTTTACCATCAAATGTTTTGTTTAAATTCTGAAAAAAACCTAAAACATGTTTTGTAAAATAGAGTTGAAGTTTTATAACAATACCAGAAGATGATTTGTTCTATTGTGTTATCGTCTATCATACTTACATCACTAGCCTGAAAAAATGTTCTAAATTGATTTGTAAAATGAAAATTGCTTTCTATTTTATGGATAAAATGTTGATGAGTATGTCATTTAAATACATTTCAATGACTGTAAAATCTGTCATTTTCATGGGGGATTTATTTTCATGGATTTCGTGAGTGCTCTGACCTTATCACTCTTCTATGCAGAAAATTAGGCAGTACTGATTCAATTTCCAATGAGAAATTTTGTATCTCTTTAAAACTTTTTCATGATTGATCCCAAAAGTCCTTCCATAGAACTCTTCAGGCTGTAAGGTCAACAAATCAGTTCACTTATTGATAAATACCGAAAGGAAATTTCTGTAGAAATCCTATATCTAAGGTCATAGAAGCTTTGGAGGATGCTTTCATCAAAACATTTCCATACAATGGATATAGCATTTGATTAAAATTCTAATGAACAGTATCAACTAGTTTCCTGTCTGATCAGTGTGGGCCCAGGAAACTGTTCATCTGATTGGTTTCCTGTAGGAAGTTGTTTTGACTGTTGACTTCTATTAAGGTCATGAAACAATTGTTTTGTTACCAGAATCGTCTAAAATAATCATAGTTAGTCTTGCTCTTGTCACCGTGGAACGATGTAAGACATGCCTAGAATAAGGAAAGCAGTCGTCTGCTTACATCAGCAAACCAATCAGAAGCCAAGACTATATCAATTTAACATTATCGTTTGAATGTGTGGATGTGTTCTGATGTTTTACACTTGCCAACCGTTTTAACTTGAAAGGAAAGTTACGATTTTCTAAAAGATTTCCACGGAAATTGAATGATTGAAAATGCTTGATTTACTTTCATAAGGAGACTTGGGTAGCAGCAGTATATACAGCTTATTACCCAGCATGGGCTTATTGCCTTGATGAACACAGTACTGTATAACAAATGTAACTCATTTTCTTTCCCAGCTGAGTCAGAGGTGTCTTATACAAAAACCGGATTTCATTAATGTCCCTAAACAGTTACTGGAGGGTAAGTTGTACTTATTGTACAAACTTTATTATACAAGACGTAGATAAAGAGCTGGCATGGATAAACTTAACATAAATACCAAGAATGTGTAAGTTATGCTGTGTGTCTTACAGCCAGCAATGATGTATTACAACAGTGTGTGACAGGCAACTATCAATATAGGTCACTGTTACTTTTACACTAAAATTCAGTGTTCAGAGGCGTGAAAAGTGACTTACCCAGTACAATATATTTAGAAAGACCAACATTGATACTAAATTGTCCACTACAGAACTAATTAAGAATGGTGTTTCCTTGTATTTTAGAGGTAAGCCAGCCTTCAGGTGCAGGCCACACTCCCCAGACTGGGGACGACATGGCTGTTCTGGAGGAAGACTACCAGGCCCTGACAGGGAAGGAGGAGTCCGACCTCGCTCTCCTCATGTCCGAGTCACAGGCCGCTATAAGTAATGCGGAGTCCTTTGCTGAGCAACTCTCAAAGCAACTGTCTGTGTTGGATGGGGTAAGCAATGGAAGAATGTTTAAACTATGATGGTAAAGGTGAGATGGGATTGGATCTGTATTTCTGTGTTATCTCAAGCCAACATGGTGCCAAGGTTTGCCAGCTATAGAGAATATGACTATGCCAGCACAGTGATATTTTTACCTCGCGTTACAGCTGAAAAACGACAGCTTCCCACAGCTGCAAAGTTTATTTTCCCCAAATATCAAGGAAAGATTAGGGGATTCAGAAATAACTTCCTAATTTTAAGCGTACCTTCCAAAAGGATGCGTGAGGTTCTGCCATGGGGTGTCGGCAGTGTCAACTATTCCCATTTAACAAGTTCTTCTCCATAGCCAAGAGGCTTAGAATACTGATATGGGGCCAGCAGTATGTTAAAGAAGCTACAGGGTTGTTCAAATGAATGATCTTGACCAACTTTCAGTGTAACAGGAATCAAATGTGAATGACTTCTCAATGAATAAAAGGCCCAGGGTACTGATGGTTGCCCAGTAGTATGCAGGGATAAAGGTTGACATGAGCCAAGTTTGTGGAAATGAATGAATTTAAATCAACTCATTCAATATATTTTCAGATTAACTTCAGATTTTTTGTATGTCTTCATTCAGCAATGAATATTTACATGTAAAATGAGTTTTTGGTTCACTATTGCAACATTGATTCAGGCCAACATCCATTCTATCATGGGATCTGAAGACCAAGTCCTGAACCTGATGAGGTTACTAGACGATGGTATTAATCAGGCAGAGAAAATTGAGGAACGCTTGGACTCTTATGACAAAATACTACAGGTAAATTCATATGATATTGCACTTAAAAAGAAAAGATAAATTTATTGTTACAGAGATTTTATTTGTGATGAATAAGTTTTCATTTGAACTGCAAATCCTTGAAATTCCAGTAATTTGTTAGAAGAAAATGTTACCTTTTGTACAGAATGTAAAAGACCAGATGGAGATGATGAGAGACAAAGACTCGCTAATCAACACTCGTAATAAGAACCATCAACATTTGCTGGAGGAACTGGACAGCCTTGTGGTCAGTACAGCGTTTTTTCTGTACAGGGTAGCTTAGACCACTGTCATGTAATCTGATCATCCAGGCTATACAGATGGTACAAAAGACACACAAGTCACTATCACCTTTAAAACAACTTTAGAGTTAGATATTCTAGAGCGAAACAATAAATTATACTGTATTATGCAGCTGTTTTGTGGTCTTCATGTGTTACAGGAATTATTTGAAGACTGATACATAAATGTTATAGGCACTTATGAATTTAAAAGAAAGCAAATTAATGTCATAATGTATTTTGTCAAGAATCGACAGCACTAACATTACACATCATCATCGTAGAAATTACAAGAGTGTTTGCCGATGTTCTGACGACAGCTAGCTTGAATCAATCAGAGAGCACATGATTGGAACATAAGTCACCTTGTTTCTCATGTTTTTATGCTAGTGATAGCAGGCTATCATAATCCCATTGTCTGATAGCACTCTTTGTTTAAATGTGTGAAATTTTGCTGCAGGGCAAAAATCCCTGTACAGTACAGGTAGATTATTGTTCTAATCATGAGGTGTCAATGTCTATGTTATCATATCTTACAGTCCATGAAAAAACTTTAATACATCAAAAAGTTCAATTTCTAAAACTTTGATTCGTAAGGGGGGTTAGTTAGTAGTAATGTATAGGAATGAAATTTGGAACTGGACAAAAACTTGAGGAATTCAAATCATCAAAGTTCAATTCATAGAAGAAGTTTGACTGTATCTGATAATTTCAGAACAAAGTTTCAGAACAAAGTTATTCTGAAATATGCCACTCTTCAGATGAATTAAAACTACAAACTGTAGGGACTAAGAGTCCACCAGCAATGACTATCAGTGGCATCTCAAAGTTTCTACAAAAGACACACGAGTGAATAGCACATATAGAATTCCATGATAAACGAACATATGTGATATTGGAAAAGACCAGGTAAAACACAACGAGAAATTTTTAGAATTTCCTATAAGTAAAGAAAGATATAATGAAAATTTTAACTCATACTGAATGTCATTACATTTCTGTAAATACAGTATGTGTATGCATCGACCTGGTATTTAGCTCATCTGGTCTGAAGGACCAGTGAGATTATCAGATGGCATGGTGTCTGTTAACTTTTGGATGAATATTGCTACCAGTCATGAACGACTGAAGAGATTTTGATCAGATTTAATCTACCTTATAAGGATGTTTAGTGAAATTTAAGTCCTCTCGTATTAAAAAATCTCCCTCCAATTTTTTTTGTCACCACTTCTCCGGAATTTATGCATGTACCTGTATGATAATTGAGGTCTTTAGAAATGAAAAATAGAAAAAAAATGTAATCATAGAAAAAAATTAATTTGGTAGAGTGTTTGTAATATAGATTATATATATTTGAGTCCTCGGAATTTTTTAAGTGACTGTTTCCTTTATAATGCTACATGTTTATATATATGTACTGAGTACAGAGTCAGTTGGACCTGGATACACGCCACCTGAAGGCACTGAGTGATGGTGACCTCTCCACTCCAGGTGGGATCTTTGAATGCACAGCTGCTGCCAATGCCCTTCAGAATTGTATGGCTGTACAAATACACCCAGGTATCTATATATTACATTAACTGACCGCTAATGACATTTATATAGTCGTGGTAAAATGTGAGATATATAACACCTTGGCGATATCATCAGACAGATGTGTGTACATTGCCTGATTGATTGGTGACTATTAATCTTCACATTGGTGTATAAGGATGTCCCAGTATATTGAAATCAAATTAACTTGATCTGTTTAGGTTTTCCATATGTTTGTTTATCCATGCATTTTACCATAACCATTCATCATAGTTTGCATATTTCAATTATATATTGATTTTGTGAATATTAAAGGTTTGAAGTTGTTTACCTTCAGTCTTCTCTGTAGCCAAACAAAGCCTTTTCAAATCAATCTTAAGAATAAACTCAATAATGTATTGTAAATATGTATTTCATTGAATTTATTTGATAGTTTTAAGAGTTATGGCCCTTGAAGTGTTTGACAATTGTTCAGGAGATAATTAATTTTGAAGGCACTTAATGTCATATTTTTATATTTTCATTTATATGGTTGTATGACAGCTTTATTAAATATTTTAATCATAAGAAAGCTTTTTCCTTTTAGTTATTCTTTGTGTAACCAAGTCAAATAATTTATTTGATGTTTGTTTTGTTGTAGTTACTGTAGAACATCAATTTCAATGAAATTATGTACTTTAAGGCTAGCACTGTTGGTTTCATTTTTCATCAAATCTTTTTTACTTAAAAATTAATCAAAGAAATAAAAAAAAACATATTACTTCATTCTAACAGTTATTCCATTACATAAAATCCTCTTTCTGAATTCCTTGTACAATTATGTTTTATTTATTCAATAACAAGACTGGGTAATAAGCCCAGTCATGTCTCTGGTTTTTCAATAGAAAGGCTTACAAATCTTATTTCATGGTCAAAACTGTACGATTGTTGCAATAATGATTTTGGTCCTAGCCCTGAGGAAGATGTCAGCTGTAGAAGAACAACAGAAGCGTTACAGTAAATTCTCGGCCAGCTTTGCGAAACGTTTGGCACATCATCTCAACAACTTGTTTATCCATCAGGTTAGTTTGTCCTTTTTCTTATCCAACCAAATAACTTTACAATGATAAAAAAGAAACTGAACTTAAGTCAGATTCTTTTAGTCATTCTCAATGCTAATTAACTAGAATTAATAGGTTTGAAATTGATTAACCAGTTAATTTCACAGTGATGATATGTAGCTATTTCATGGTTCTTTCATATGATTACTAAAATTTTAAATTTACATCCAGATCACAAAATTTTGATTTGTTTAAAGGTATTTTAAAAACTTGTGAAAATGACCTTTTTCATATGGTATTGTTTGCAGGAAGACAGTGATAAGTGTCTCACTATTAAATTGGCTTTACAACTTGATAGAATTTACTATCAAAAAAATTAACAAAAATTAAGAATTAACAATCCATTTCAGTTTCAATATTAGAGGAATGTAAATATAAGGATTGAACTGTCTTTGTTTGGCATTTATGTTCATATAAAGTTTTATGTGTAAATATACAACATTACATTGATATGCAATAAGATATTTAACTGCAAACTATGTCGTTTATATTGGTCATTAATGCCATATCACAACAGCTCTAAGCATAAATGTATAGAATGTACTTAAAAAATTATTTCACTGTACATAGTATTAATAATTTTTTTCCTTACATGTGCTTGAATCAAGATAAACATGTTACTACTGTAACCAAAAAAATCATACATATACATGTATACATGGTTTACAAAAATATGTATTTTCATTGGCTTTAAATTTGATGGATAAATCAACTGCACAAAATCAACTAATCTCTTCAGTTTTACATTTAAAGAAACCTGGAATTCAATAAAAATAAAAGCTACACGAAAATTAATTATTTTACAGAAAGTTATATCATAATATCATGTTTTATTTAGGGTAACGAGATGGGAGAAACCCTCAGTCGACAGATGATAGACTTCAAGATTCCACAGCATCATTCCAGCCATCGTGACCTCACTCCATATGCAGATCTTATGTTCTGGCTGAAAAATGCAGATCCCAAGAGTTTCAAGGAGCTTTCACAGGTCAGAACTGCCTGTAGTCTAGTGATAGGGCACTCATTTGTTCCATAGCCCTGAAATGGTTCACTAATGTACAAAATATTAAGCTTATTATGCCCCCGGAAGGGAGAGCATGTAGTCGCCACTTGGTCTGTCCATTTATCCGTCAATCATGATTTAGTCCAGAGCATATCACAAAATCTATTAGAGGTATCAACATAGACACTGTAGAAGTGCAGTGCACCAGAATCTTTACTCTCTTTTGCATAATCTAGGAGTTATTGCCCTTTGTTATTTTTCTTACTTAAATTTTGTCTGCAGCATTTCAGTAAAACTATAAGAGGTATCAACATGAAACTTCATAAATAGATAGATCTCAACAAGAAGGAGGGCAGTGCACAAGAATCATATCTCTCATAATGCCTTTTGTTATTTTTCATACTTAAATTTTGTCAAATTTGAGAAGCATAACCCGTCTCTGACACCTCAAAACGAGGTAAGTTCTGATCTCTTAGTCACCATTAAAATTACTGATTTATTTATCAAGCAGACCCTGTCGGGTATTTATCCCAGCTGAGTGTTTTTTAGTTTAGTAAAAATCCTTAGAATGCTATTTCATTATCCTGCAATTAGCCCACCTCTTCTCTGAATCATTGTTTGTGTGTTTGAACTTAGATAATATATCGAGTGAAAGTCCAATCATCTCTAAATCCCTTAGTTTCTTGAATAAATAAGGAAATATCTCCAACATAAATAATTTCTGTTCATGTGTCGTGATCCTCGGTGAAATGTTTAATTTGTATGTAAAAGGGTATGTTTACGTTCCAGGTGTACACCACCAGTCTGAGTCGACTCTATACCAAGGAAACACAGGACTTTATAGAATGTGCTAAACAGAGACTAGGGACAGGAACAAAGGCCGACAAGAACAAGCTAGGTAGTTTATCTGTGGACATTTCTACAGTTTTCTGATTACATACTGTAAAGTTGTCAGTACGTGGTAGTTCTGATTTTAGCAGTTTTATCAAACATGTGAAAAGGATCATGTCATTTTATTTCACTCAGACTGTAGTTTTTTTTTACTATAAAATCATTAACTTCCGTGTAGGATTTAGTTTTGTTTATTTAGTCGGTACTCTTAATTCATGAATTTTCATGATTAGTATTTAAATGTAAATTTATAATAAAACTACATATATTCAATGACATCAAATTTCCAGAAAATGGCGATTTTTTTTAAAACCCAAAATTTGAGCCATAAGAAAATACATTATTTAACAATTTAATTTTGTTTTTGTTGTGTGCATTTTTCATGATTTTATCCTATCCTTGATAATCACAAAAAATTATAATCCATTAAAAATAACAATTCACAGTATAGTCCCCTCCTTCACTTCCATGTTAACAATCCTGAAATTTCTTTGTAATACACTTTGTATTTACATTGAAGTCTTTCAGATTGTATTGCTTTATTTACATGTAGCTGTAAAAGAATGATTGAATTATATTCAACTGAGATGTTTTTTCAAAGAATTTTATTAAAACAGAGTGGCTAACAGTGTATTCATGTTTTTCTTGTTACGGACTACAACTTATATATTCCTTTTCGTTACAGATTTACCACATATTTTTTGAGACTTACTTAATTTCAAAACTGTCTGATTTTTAAGATACTTTTCCTTACAAGAAATCTGTGGCTTAATTTTAAGATTTTAGAATATTATGTATATCAAAGATTTACTAGATAACTTTATACGAAATGTCTTAAATGTACATATTGTTCATGTTACTAGGAGTGGGACTAGCAGGACAAAGTGCGTCTAAGTTGTCAGGGTCTTCGACAAGTCTGCAAGGAAAAATTCATGATGCTCGTGGACGCTCTGGGTCCATGCAAAGTGTAGACTCAGCTTCATTGTCTACGCATGGCTCTGACTCGGACCTCGCTATGAGACACCTGTTTGATCAGGTAAAGTAATACACAGTATATCTTCCTTATTTGTTGACACCATAACCTACACAGTGTGTAAGTAGGCAAGGTCAAAATTTGACCATCATGTTCGGTGTCCTAGATCTATGAGGTGGTAGATGATGAAAATATGTCAGTCTGAAAGCTGTAAGAATCACGCTATTTATCAGAAGTTCAAGATGAAAAGTTCATCGAAACGTTTTAACAGAAGTTGGAAGATAATGCATATCTGCACTATTCATAAATCAGAACCATTGGCTCATTAATTACTCTGGCTGTCTGAGAATATTAAAAGCGTGCCCAAAGCTATAACATGGGTCCTGGTTATTATTTTCTCGTGTTGTGGTGATATATCATAAATTATGTTTATAATTCAGGTTCTTGATAAGGTGTTCAGTGAACTGGAACCATTTTGTCTGGCGGAGCAAGACTTTTGTGTGCGATTTTTCCACCTAGTGGCAGAGTCACAGAAGGGAGAAAAAGAGGTATGCATCAGTTAAGCTTATTATAAGGTATACTTCTGACACCTAGATACTCGCCTGTGGCACAGTGGTAAAGCATTCGCCTTTCACCTAGCCGTCCAGGATTTGATTCCCAGAACGGACATGAAAAGGTTATGGGGTCACCTGCACAACGAAGCGTGGTTTTCCCTAGGTACTCCAGTTTCCTCCACAGTAAGACACCCTGTGCGTTTCCACCCAGTTCAACAAGTTTGATTAATATAAGCTAATAGCTTGTTTTATGTTTAATTTTCTGCTCTATATTTTAGATATCATTGCTATATATACTGTGAATTAAAATCTCCCAGAAAAAACATTTCATGTGTACATGCAAAGGAATATTTTAGGAAGTGGAAAATTTAATTTTCTAAAATTAATTCTCATCCAGGCAGCTACAAAATATGAGGCTTTCCAAAATTAAGCAATTATGCATTTATTGTAAGTACAGATGTACTGAAATAAAACAATTTATTGATTATCGAGACGTGTAACAAAATATTTTGCTAGTGAAAAACTAATTGTATTAACCTTTTTGTTATGGAGGATGAAGTCTTTTTTCTAAATGAAGAAAGTCAGTATTTTTGTACAATGTGATGGAGTCAGTCAAGTTCTTTTGTTCTTACAGGAAGAAGATGGGGATAATGGCGACATCTGGCAGCCTCAAAAACCTGTCCAATCGGTCGAGTAAGTTGTTTGGTATTTAGAGTAATTATTGTTTAATGATATAGCTGTTAATTGTCACTGTTAATTGTCACTGTTAATTGTCACTGTTAATTGTCACTCTACTGTCGTATATCAAAAACTTTCTCACTGTAACTCATCTTAACTCTTACTATACATTACCTATATATTACCTATATTTATTGTTATGAAATGATATACAAAAAAAATGGGAGTTAGGCCCCCTTACAATGTATTAGTTTCAATTGAAGGACTTACAAGATTTCTTTTTGATATGATTGTAACAATAAATATTATTGATTATATATGGCATATTGTATGACCTGATGAATGTTATTTATGTATAATGCACAGTTAATAATCTCTTTGTAACTAGAGGCAGAAAATAATTTACATTTTTTCACTAAATTTACATAAATTCTAGGAATGTGATAAACAGATTTTTCTTGAACATATCCATTTTAGTAAATATTTTTGACTAAATCTTTGTTGTATTTACATCCACTATAAACATACAGTCTGTATAGCTCTTACAGATGGTTGTATGTAAATGATAATTTATTTTATGAACATGTCCTTTTCATTACATATGTCTCTCTACATCTTATACTTTCTTCAAAACATCATTATGTGTAAGATACAATGTTCAGATTTGAGATTTTGAAATAATATTGTCAACAAACTGATGTATTTTCTCCAGATTTTGTTTGAAAAAATAAATTGTTCTGTCTCTTTTGATATTTATCATTAATTTTTGTAAACACAGCCATGATGCATGGTAGTTATAAATCTATGAAGGCACAAAATACTTTTTGCATGTCTACATCTCAGATCATGGTCTTTAACATGTTTTATTCAACATAGCATCTGGGTATGTCACACGTTTACTCTCAATGGATCAATCTGGATCTACCATATATGTTAAATTCAAACAGAATAAGTTCTTTTTCATGTTAATAATTTATCAATTAATTAATTAATCAATTTATCTTAAAACAAAGAAATCTACATCTTATTTCAAATATATTCAGGTAAATGGCACTAAGGACCAAATGAAGTAGATGAGAAACTTTTACATAAAATAATTTTTTGTAGTGATTAAATTGAATTAATTCCCAAAAAAATTTGAAATATAAGCTATTTAATAAAGGTTTGTAATGTCATATTGTTTAATTTGTTTAAAAGATTAACCATAATTATGATTTTAAATATCTGTGATACAATGTATTTGTTTTATTTTATTTTAGAACATATTGTTTATTCTGAACTTATTTTTTCATATGATTGTATAAATGGCTTTGACTCCTTGTAGGAATTACTATATGGAAAATTTAGGGGAGGGTCTTTTTCAAAGACGTGTATCAAGTCAAATGTAAGTGTGTTGTTTGTGTGAGACGAAAGGCTTTGACCAGCACTGCTGCCACCAGGTGTCGCCTCTGCATCTTCCACATTCATACGCCGTAACCTTCAGGCAGAGCCACTGCTAGAAATATTAAATTTCCATTGGGGCTTTAATGAACTTTCTGGGCATTGTACATTATAGATCATGGGGAGGGAGAGGTGATCTTATACATTTTCATAATATTTTTGCTATCTAGCGTTTAGTTTTTTGGTGAACTTGATTCTGACCGGCACAGTCTAAGCTTTAGGAGATGGCAAGATGGAAACTTCATCATTTGCACTCTTTTTTGCCATGTGCTTGTCGAGAACAGCAAAACTGGTTCGAATAGACAGGCTAAGCAGCATGTTTAAAATACAGTTGTGGTAACTCACATTGACACCAAAAACTGTGTACTCACATTGTGCCTACATCATGTGTACACACACTATATACAGTATCTAATGCAAAGTTGTGTGATAGGATTGAACAATTTTTGCAGTTTTGTGAAAATGTTTGGCTAATATTACAGACTGAAAATTAAACAGAAAATAACTTGTTGGCCCTAATGACCTTTTATGTGTTGATGGGTCGTTAAGACTGTAATGGATTGTGTATTGGAAGTTAGTGTTGATATATAGTATGTGTGGATTGTGTATTGACAGAAGTTAGTGTTGATATATAGGTATGAGGAGTGTGGATTGTGTATTGACAGAAGTTAGTGTTGATATATATAGGTATGAGGAGTGTGGATTGTGTATTGACAGAAGTTAGTGTTGATATATAGGTATGAGGAGTGTGGATTGTGTATTGACAGAAGTTAGTGTTGATATATAGGTATGAGTGTTGATATATAGGTATGAGGAGTGTGGATTGTGTATTGACAGAAGTTAGTGTTGATATATAGGTATGAGGAGTGTGGATTGTGTATTGACAGAAGTTAGTGTTGATATATAGGTATGAGGAGTGTGGATTGTGTATTGACAGAAGTTAGTGTTGATATATAGGTATGAGGAGTGTGGATTGTGTATTGACAGAAGTTAGTGTTGATATATAGGTATGAGGAGTGTGGATTGTGTATTGACAGAAGTTAGTGTTGATATATAGGTATATAGGAGTGTGGATTGTGTATATATTGACAGAAGTTAGTGTTGATATATAGGTATGTGTAGGAGTGTGGATATATAGGTATGAGGAGTGTGTGTGTATTGACAGAAGTTAGTGTTGATATATAGGTATGAGGAGTGTGGATTGTGTATTGACAGAAGTTAGTGTTGATATATAGGTATGAGGAGTGTGGATTGTGTATTGACAGACAGAAGTTAGTGTTGATATATAGGTATGAGGAGTGTGGATTGTGTATTGACAGAAGTTAGTGTTGATATATAGGTATGAGGAGTGTGGATTGTGTATTGACAGAAGTTAGTGTTGATATATAGGTATGAGGAGTGTGGATTGTGTATTGACAGAAGTTAGTGTTGATATATAGGTATGAGGAGTGTGGATTGTGTATTGACAGAAGTTAGTGTTGATATATAGGTATGAGGAGTGTGGATTGTGTATATATAGACAGAAGTTAGTTAGTGTTGATATATAGGTATGAGGAGTGTGGATTGTGTATTGACAGAAGTTAGTGTTGATATATAGGTATGAGGAGTGTGGATTGTGTATTGACAGAAGTTAGTGTTGATATATAGGTATGAGGAGTGTGGATTGTGTATTGACAGAAGTTAGTGTTGATATATAGGTATGAGGAGTGTGGATTGTGTATTGTGTGTTGATATATAGGTATGAGGAGTGTGGATTGTGTATTGACAGAAGTTAGTGTTGATATATAGGTATGAGGAGTGTGGATTGTGTATTGACAGAAGTTAGTGTTGATATATAGGTATGAGGAGTGTGGATTGTGTATTGACAGAAGTTAGTGTTGATATATAGGTATGAGGAGTGTGGATTGTGTATTGACAGAAGTTAGTGTTGATATATAGGTATGTGTGGATTGTGTATTGACAGAAGTTAGTGTTGATATATAGGTATGAGGAGTGTGGATTGTGTATTGACAGAAGTTAGTGTTGATATATAGGTATGAGGAGTGTGGATTGTGTATATATAGGTATGAGAAGTTAGTGTTGATATATAGGTATGAGGAGTGTGGATTGTGTATTGACAGAAGTTAGTGTTGATATATTGGTATTAGGAGTGTAGATTGTGTATTGACAGAAGTTAGTGTTGATTTATTGGTATTAGGAGTGTGGATTGTGTATTGACAGAAGTTAGTGTTGATATATAGGTATGAGGAGTGTGGATTGTGTATTGACAGAAGTTAGTGTTGATATATAGGTATGAGGAGTGTGGAGTGTTGATATATAGGTATGAGGAGTGTGGATTGTGTATTGTCAGAAGTTAGTGTTGATATATAGGTATGAGGAGTGTGGATTGTGTATTGACAGAAGTTAGTGTTGATATATAGGTATGAGGAGTGTGGATTGTGTATTGACAGAAGTTAGTGTTGATATATAGGTATGAGGAGTGTGGATTGTGTATTGACAGAAGTTAGTGTTGATATATAGGTATGAGGAGTGTGGATTGTGTATTGACAGAAGTTAGTGTTGATATATAGGTATGAGGAGTGTGGATTGTGTGTGGATTGTGTATTGACAGAAGTTAGTGTTGATATATAGGTATGAGGAGTGTGGATTGTGTATTGACAGAAGTTAGTGTTGATATATAGGTATGAGGAGTGTGGATTGTGTATTGACAGAAGTTAGTGTTGATATATAGGTATGAGGAGTGTGGATTGTGTATTGACAGAAGTTAGTGTTGATATATAGGTATGAGGAGTGTGGATTGTGTATTGACAGAAGTTAGTGTTGATATATAGGTATGAGGAGTGTATGAGGAGTGTGGATTGTGTATTGACAGAAGTTAGTGTTGATATATAGGTATTAGGAGTGTGGATTGTGTATTGACAGAAGTTAGTGTTGATATATAGGTATGAGGAGTGTGGATTGTGTATTGACAGAAGTTAGTGTTGATATATAGGTATGAGGAGTGTGGATTGTGTATTGACAGAAGTTAGTGTTGATATATAGGTATATTGACAGAAGTTAGTGTTGATATATAGGTATGAGGAGTGTGGATTGTGTATTGACAGAAGTTAGTGTTGATATATAGGTATGAGGAGTGTGGATTGTGTATTGACAGAAGTTAGTGTTGATATATAGGTATATGTGGATTGTGTATTGACAGAAGTTAGTGTTGATATATAGGTATGTGTGGATTGTGTATTGACAGAAGTTAGTGTTGATATATAGGTATGAGGAGTGTGGATTGTGTATTGACAGAAGTTAGTGTTGATATATAGGTATGAGGAGTGTGGATTGTGTATTGACAGAGGTTAGTGTTGATATATAGGTATGAGGAGTGTGGATTGTGTATTGACAGAAGTTAGTGTTGATATATATAGGTATGAGGAGTGTGGATTGTGTATTGACAGAAGTTAGTGTTGATATATTGGTATTAGGAGTGTAGATTGTGTATTGACAGAAGTTAGTGTTGATTTATTGGTATGAGGAGTGTGGATTGTGTATTGACAGAAGTTAGTGTTGATATATAGGTATGAGGAGTGTGGATTGTGTATTGACAGAAGTTAGTGTTGATATATAGGTATGAGGAGTGTGGATTGTGTATTGACAGAAGTTAGTGTTGATATATAGGTATGTGGATTGTGTAGGAGTGTGGATATATAGTGAGGAGTATTGACAGAAGTTAGTGTTGATATATAGGTATGAGGATGTATTGTGTATTGACAGAAGTTATGTTGATATATAGGTATGAGGAGTGTGGATTGTGTATTGACAGAAGTTAGTGTTGATATATAGGTATGAGGAGTGTGGATTGTGTATTGACAGAAGTTAGTGTTGATATATAGGTATGAGGAGTGTGGATTGTGTATTGACAGAAGTTAGTGTTGATATATAGGTATGAGGAGTGTGGATTGTGTATTGACAGAAGTTAGTGTTGATATATAGGTATGAGGAGTGTGGATTGTGTATTGGCAGAAGTTAGTGTTGATATATAGGTATGAGGAGTGTGGATTGTGTATTGACAGAAGTTAGTGTTGATATATATAGGTATGAGGAGTGTGGATTGTGTATTGACAGAAGTTAGTGTTGATATATAGGTATGAGGAGTGTGACCTATACAAGCCTACAGGTTGGCTACATGATAGGCCTACACTCACAGCCTATGTGCTTAATCTGTACAGCCCTACACAACAGACCTACAATCCCAGCCTATGTACTTAGTCTGTACAGCCCTACACAACAGACCTACAATCCCAGCCTATGTACTTAGTCTGTACAGCCCTACACAACAGACCTACAATCACAGCCTATGTACTTAGTCTGTACAGCCCTACACAACAGACCTACAATCCCAGCCTATGTACTTAGTCTGTACAGCCCTACACAACAGACCTACAATCCCAGCCTATGTACTTAGTCTGTACAGCTCTACACAACAGACCTACACTCACAGCCTATGTACTAAGTAGTCTGTACAGCCCTAAACAACAGACCTACAATCCCAGCCTATGTACTTAGTCTGTACAGCCCTACACAACAGACCTACAATCACAGCCTATGTACTAAGTCTGTACAGCCCTACACAACAGACCTACAATCACAGCCTATGTACTTAGTCTGTACAGCCCTACACAACAGACCTACAATCACAGCCTATGTACTTAGTCTGTACAGCCCTACAAAACAGACCTACAATCCCAGCCTATGTACCAAGTCTGTACAGCCCTACACAACAGACCTACAATCACAGCCTATGTACTTAGTCTGTACAGCCCTACACAACAGACCTACAATCCCAGCAAGACCTACGATCCTAGAAGCCTCTACAACCCTACATAACAGGTTTACCATTCCAGCTTATGTATATACTAGCCTATACAGACCATTCTGAATTTAGTGATACTTTCCAGTTCTTTTATCACACATCCTCTTCAGTTCTTGTTAGTAAAACAGTCCTCCATTAATTCAGCAGCTAGAGTTATCTTTCCTTGCTCTCACATCCATACATATACTAATGAACTAACATTTTGATATCTCACATGGCATAAAGGTAAGTTGTGTAAGGGTTCAAGGTTTGTTTGGCAAGGTATTCATTAAGTATTCCTATTGAAGTGTTTTTTGTAATCTTGATTTATTAGAATCATCATTACACATTGCCATGAATGACTTAGGGCTATTTCAAAATTCAAGATGGCCACTTTAGGTTTTGATTGGCTTAGATTTTTTTTCTCGTAGTGTTAAAGTTATTGTTTTCAGCCGAGAAATATTTTGTTGTAAGAAATATAAGCTGAATGAAATTTTTGGAAACAACAACATAAAAAGCATCTGTATATCCTTGTTATTAACCTGTGCCTTACAGATAATGTAAATGAAAATATTGTCCCCGTGTGTCTGTTAGAAGCAATGCTGTTGAGTAGGACAATAGTTAATTTAATCAGTCCATCAGTTTTTGTGTTACTTAGTCTGAAGCATGTATCATTCATGCAGTCATCTACTTTCGCAAATTTTGTATGCAAATTCTTCTATTCTGTCATATCAAAAAAAAGTTTTGGATTACATATACATTAGAGTTGTAGCCCTTTATTAATAGTTGTCTTTCATTCTTGGTTCTTATGATCAAACTCCAATCATCTGACGAATCCAAAATACTTGTACCATATGAATATATAGAGTGATGACCCTTTCTTTTATTCTTAGTCGTTTGTGAAATTTTTTTTTGATGATCAAACATTTTATTTTGTTTGTACCCTGATCATGTTTATTTGGGATGACTGTCACAGTGTTGAAAGGAGTATTGTTTGGTATATACAGGGTTGTGGCCCTTTGTTTAGAACATGTTCTTATCAGGTTTAAAACATGATCTTATCAGAATAACAATGATTTTATTCAGGGACTAGATTCATTGGCTGACAACTTGTTTTATTGTCTGTGATAGCCTTGTAGGTGATTGAATTAACTAAACAATTAATTCTTTTAATAAAAAAACCATATTAACCAATTTCTGTCATGTGTGATTTTTTTATTGAATTATTTGCTATTCATTTTGTTTCACTAACTTTATTATAGTGTTATTATCTCAATAGATGTACAAGTATATTGAATAAGAATAAAAGTCTCTAGTGGTATAGATTTAGATGGTGAGAAGCTGGCGCATACTTTGTAGTAATTTATAGTCAGATCGTGAGAGGCTGGAAGCATACTTTATAGTAATTTAGAGTCAGATTGTGAGAAGCTGGGAGCATACTTTGTAGCAATTTATAGTCAGATGGTGAGTGGCTGGGAGCATGTTTTATAGTCAGATAGTGAGTGGCTGGGAGCATACTTTATAGTAATTTATAGTCAGATCGTGAGTGGCTGGGAGCATACTTTGTAGCAATTTATAGTCAGATCATGAGAGGCTGGGAACATACATTGTAGTAATTCATAGTCAGATCGTGAGAGGCTGGGAGCATACTTTATAGTAATTTATAGTCAGATCATGAAAGGCTAGGAGAATACTTTGTACTAATTTATAGTCAGATCATGAGAGGCTGGGAACATACTTTATAGTAATTTATAGTCAGATCATGAGAGACTGGGAGCATACGTTGTAGTAATTTATAGTCAGATCATGAGAGGCTGGGAGAATACTTTGTACTAATTTATAGTCAGATCATGAGAGGCTTGGAGAATACTTTGTAGTAATTTATAGTCAGATTGTGAGAGGCTGGGCGCATACTTTATAGTAATTTAAAGTCAGATCAAGAGAGGCTGGGAGAATACTTTATAGCAATTGATAGTCAGATCATGAGAAGCTGGGAGCATACTTTGTAGTAATTTATAGTCAGATCGTGAGTGGCTGGGAGAATACTTTATAGTAATTTATACTCAGATCATGAGAGGCTAGAAGCACAACTAATGTAGAACATTATTACAAAGTTTACTGTGCATGGGTACCAATGTTGTGATAACTCAGTTGGTTGTATGCTACATCTGTTGGTTTTGATTTCCTTTCGAATGATAATTCAGTGTGGCTGGTAAATATTGAAATTGTTGAGTATTGTTTGTGATGTTGAAGATTTCATGTTGTTCTTAAATCCCATAAAACTTATCTTTCATGCTGTTACAGATTTTTAATATTTTTGTCATTATAAAATTTAAATGATCATTTTCAAACATATACCAATGTATGTATATGACAGTGTAAAGGATAATTAAACAGTCCAAGCTTTATATTTTTTTCAGTGATTTATCGAAACCTTTCAGGAATTCTAGTTTACCTAAGTGATCTTACAGTTTTCAGGGTCATTTGTCAGTTTAAAGGTCAAACAAAATATCTGATATCTAAGGAAAATAAGTTTTTGTAAATCACTTCAGACATGAACTCTATGATAAATTAATTTTAATGGTATTAAGTGTCATAATGATAACATCTGAACCACAGTGCAATTTAGTGGTCATCGGTCAAGGATAAAGAGTCTAAGGTCACCACCTGACCACTGCGTTAATTTTCAAGAAGAGTGAGATGGTGGGGTATACTTATTTCAACCCACTCATTTTGTTCGTATCAAACTTATGGTCAGCAGTAAGCCTTATCATATATATCCTTTACATGTGTAAGATTTCCTCACTTTGATTATACATTGTCTGAGGCTGTGTAAGGTGCTGATTATTTGTTGGCTGTTGTAGGCGTCACATCAATGAGGAAGTACGAGGTATGATGAGGGACCTCTTCCCCTGTCTTGAAAACAACCTGGACGATTTCTTCTCTTACTCAGATAGGATTGATGGATTGTAAGTACAATGTATGACTGATGGATTGTAAGTACAATGTATGACTGATGGGTTGTAAGTACAATGTATGACTGATGGATTGTAAGTACAATGTATGACTGATGGGTTGTAAGTACAATGTATGACTGATGGATTGTAAGTACAACGTATGACTGATGGGTTGTAAGTACAATGTATGACTGATGGGTTGTAAGTACAATGTATGAGTGATGGTTTGTAAGTACAATGTATGACTGATGGGTTGTAAGTACAATGTATGACTGATGGATTGTAAGTACAATGTATGATTGATGGGTTGTAAGTACAACGTATGACTGATGGATTGTAAGTACAATGTATGACTGATGGGTTGTAAGTACAACGTATGACTGATGGATTGTAAGTACAATGTATGATTGATGTATGACTGATGGGTTGTAAGTACAATGTATGACTGATGGGTTGTAAGTACAATGTATGACTGATGGATTGTAAGTACAATGTATGACTGATGGATTGTAAGTACAATGTATGACTGATGGATTGTAAGTACAATGTATGATTGATGGGTTGTAAGTACAATGTATGACTGATGGGTTGTAAGTACAATGTATGACTGATGGGTTGTAAGTACAATGTATGACTGATGGGTTATAAGTACAATGTATGACTGATGGGTTGTAAGTACAATGTATGACTGATGGGTTGTAAGTACAATGTATGACTGATGGGTTGTAAGTACAATGTAGGACTGATGGGTTGTAAGTACAATGTATGACTGATGGGTTATAAGTACAATGTATGACTGATGGGTTGTAAGTACAATGTATGACTGATGGGTTGTAAGTACAATGTATGACTGATGGGTTATAAGTACAATGTATGACTGATGGATTGTAAGTACAATGTATGACTGATGGGTTGTAAGTACAATGTATGACTGATGGGTTATAAGTACAATGTATGACTGATGGATTGTAAGTACAATGTATGACTGATGGGTTGTAAGTACAATGTATGACTGATGGGTTGTAAGTACAATATAGGACTGATGGGTTGTAAGTACAATGTATGACTGATGGGTTGTAAGTACAATGTATGACTGATGGGTTATAAGTACAATGTATGACTGATGGGTTGTAAGTAAAATGTAGGACTGATGGGTTGTAAGTACAATGTATGACTGATGGGTTGTAAGTACAATGTATGACTGATGGGTTATAAGTACAATGTATGACTGATGGGTTGTAAGTACAATGTAGGACTGATGGGTTGTAAGTAAAATGTAGGACTGATGGGTTATAAGTACAATGTATGACTGATGGGTTGTAAGTACAATGTATGACTGATGGGTTGTAAGTACAATGTAGGACTGATGGGTTGTAAGTACAATGTAGGACTGATGGGTTGTAAGTACAATGTATGACTGATGGGTTGTACAATGTAGGACTGATGGATTGTAAGTACAATGTATGACTGATGGGGTGTACCACTTGATGTAGAGTCAATATTTTATAAATGACAGAGATGTAAACAGAACTGGTATTTTGAGATGGGTTTTGTTTTTCACTATTTTTTATGAAAGGATGAAATTGTGAAAAATTAATATCTAGAATCTAGAGGATCTTGTTTTATAAATTCCATATTACATTGACAAGAGTGTTAGATTCTATTTATCATATAACCCGTATTTCTGAAACATAAGCAACAACTATTATGTTAATTTCCCTATAAGACAGATTTATTTTGAAAATTTTTGAAAAAAACACGTGAAGACATCATTTCAGTGTTTTGGTAAAATCATGATAACTTTGACCAAAAGAAAATAACATTATCAGTGCTAGATTTACATACTCTGTGTACCATTGAGTATACTCTCTAGTGATAAGGATGTAGACAGGAGATTAGAATGTAAGGTTTGCTGCAATTTTATTTCAAGATGTAAACAGGGAAACTTAGCAAGACTGCTAAAAAATTTTTAATATGTGAATTTTTAACTTCAATATATAAGAACAATATTTTTATGAAACAATAGCAAACAAATGTATATGTTCCTTTTGTGAAACTGATGTGTAAACATGTTTTTTCTTTTGTACAGTAATTCCATGTATATGTTGGTACGGATGAGTCAGCACGTGAACAAAGCCCAGAACACTGGATCTTTCCTCAGTGTCACATTTGCCAGCTGCCTTGTCAAGATCAAACGCAATTTTGATAGATTCATAGTAAGTCAAACTACCTCAGATTTTATAAATAAAAAATTGTCATTTTGACGTTGTTGAAATTTCTATATTGATTCTTCTGGGAAAATGTTTTTTGGAAAAAAATGTTTCAATCAAATTTGTAAGCTCATTGAAATTATCAAAAGAGAATATAGGGGAATTAAAATTTCTTTGTCACCCAGCTGTCACAGCATGAATGTGTATTTTTCCTGTTAGTAAGATATTACACTTGCATATTACTTCAGTAATGCTTCTGAATGCCTGTGTTTTTCCTGTTTATACAGTAGACAATATGTTTTGGATTCATTTTCCATACATAGATACCTAATTAAGTATATCTTGTCTATTTTACCTTTTGACTTCTTCCAGCAAAACCAGATCCGTGCTATCCAGGAATGTCGTGTGGCCAAGAAAACCAAGTGTGGCATCATCAGCTTTGTCCATACATTTGAGGTATTATGAACATATTTATCCAGAACAGACATTATTGCGAGACATTTAAATAGTATTTATTGGTAATTCCACAGAACAGTGATACATTTGGTTTGGCTTATTACAAAGCAGGTGCTAGTTACTGGATAGAAATGGTAAATCCAAATTGCAGTTGTTCTTCAACTTCTTCTCAATGATTAGTTGTTGAGTAGAAACTTAGTATAACCCATGTCTTTTTCATCATGTCCAGTCCTGATACAGTATCATTTATCCAGCTTTCTGAGAATACTTAATACTCTTACTACTGCTAAAGATATAAAGGTTAAGTGGCTTTCTTATCATGTTAACATTGGTTTTCCAGAAATTCATCCTAACTTTATCAATGATAGGAATTTCCAATATGTTCATACTGACATTTCAGCACTGCACTGATATTCAAATTTTCAATGTTTTTGTTTGTGTTTAGGACTTTGCTAACCAAGCAGAAAGTATTTTTCGTGGATCTGAGAACCGACATGCCCATCTGGACAAGTCTTATGTCACTCTTGTTGCAGTTATATTTGAACAGATTGCCAGAATTGCTTCAGAACATCCCAAAACACCAAGGGAAGTTGTAATGATGGGTAAGTATCAGGGGAGATAACTGATTTAAGGTTTCTGGGTCATGTGACTAACTGTGATGATTTTATTTATTGTAATTCCTTCAGTTAGACCAGAGTTGTTGCTTCCTGTTGCATAGCTTATGGTTAGCTCAACGTTAGCTAACTAAGTCTTCTCGAATTACCAGTAATATATTTGAACTGAATTTAAATATTTCTTATCTTCTTTTTCTACAGAAAACTTCCATCACATGTTCTGTAAGTATTTTTGTACACATTAACATTTAGAATTATAAAGTCTTCATGTAGTGTATATGATTTATCAGTTATTTCTTTAATTTCGACCATAACATTTCCCTTGTCATTTCTCCAGAGGAAAGTAGATTTCCTATGAAGCCTGTGTCTGTTTAACTTAGATGTAGGAATGTTTCTGCTTCAGTGTTTGTGTATTACAAGACTAAGTTTGTGGAAAAATTGAATTGATTAACAAACAAATATACTTTAAGTTTCAAGATACTAAAAAGCCAGCACATTGATGTTGTGAACATATGATTTTTGCAGTCACAGATCTTGTAGATGTTTAGATATGAACATTGTAGTTTGTCAGTAAAATGAATGTTTTGAGTTCAGGGTTTAGTACTTTCTTTAAATTCACCAACATAAAAATGAGGCAGTGAATACATGACCTGAATTAGAATTGAGATTTTTATAATTAGATTAGTCAGATAAATGTACAGTAGTGTACACAGTCACAAATAGAAAGGATTCATCATGAGTTTCTAATTTTAACACCACCATAACATGACGTCTGAGATAAAGTCATGAACGACAAATATGGCCTTAAACTGTATGTAACAGAAGTTATCAGAAACCAGTCTTGTCTTCAAACTGTGTGTTATTTTTAATGATTCAAAATGTAAAGCAATATAAATAAAATTATGTCATTATTTTACGATAATGCTGTGCATGATATTTGAGTGCTGTAGATTGTAATTTCAGTTGTATCTTAATTCATAAACAGGTATTACCATTATCAGAGATACTCATTTATAAACACATTTATAGAGAGACATGTGTTTTAGGTAATAAAATTAGCCACGGTCGTAAAACTTGTCTATTATTGATAAGATAGTGTTCATTTGTGGTCTTATTCAACAAAATTTCTGTGATAAACAAAGATTTTAAACTTAACTCTGTTATTGTAGCTGTTCTGTCAGCTCTCAAGATTCCCTGTCTGGAGAATGATAGGAAAGAGGCCAAACAGACATACCAGGATAACTTATACCAGTATACAACCAATCTACTGGGCAGACCCATGGAGAAACTTCATGTAAGTACACAACCAGTCTGTCGTACAGTCTACTGGGCAGACCCATGTAGAAACTCCATGTAAGTACACAACCAGTCTGTTGGACAGACCCATGGAGAAACTCCATGTAAGTACACAACCAGTCTGTCGTACAGTCTACTGGGCAGACCCATGTAGAAACTCCATGTAAGTACACAACCAGTCTGTTGGACAGACCCATGGAGAAACTTCAAGTAAGTACACAACCAGTCTACTGGGCAGACCCATGGAGAAACTCCATGTAAGTACACAACCAGTCTGTCGTACAGTCTACTGGGCAGACCCATGGAGAAACTCCATGTAAGTACACAACCAGTCTGTCGTACAGTCTACTGGGCAGACCCATGGAGAAACTTCATGTAAGTACACAACCAGTCTGTTGGACAGACCCATGGAGAAACTCCATGCAAGTACACAACCAGTCTGTCGGACAGTCTACTGGGCAGACCCATGGAGAAACTCCATGTAAGTACACAACCAGTCTTTCGTACAGTCTACTGGGCAGACCCATGGAGAAACTTCATGTAAGTACACAACCAGTCTGTTGGACAGACCCATGTAGAAACTCCATGTAAGTACACAACCAGTCTGTTGGACAGTCTACTGGGCAGACCCATGGAGAAACTTCACGTAAGTACACAACCAGTCTACTGGGCAGACCCATGGAGAAACTCCATGTAAGTACACAACCAGTCTGTTGTACAGACCCTTGGAGAAACTTCATGTAAGTACACAACCAGTCTGTTGGACAGACCCATGGAGAAACTCCATGCAAGTACACAACCAGTCTGTCGGACAGTCTACTGGGCAGACCCATGGAGAAACTCCATGTAAGTACACAACCAGTCTGTCGTACAGTCTACTGGGCAGACCCATGGAGAAACTTCATGTAAGTACACAACCAGTCTGTTGGAAGTACACAACCAGTCTGTTGGACAGTCTACTGGGCAGACCCATGGAGAAACTTCACGTAAGTACACAACCAGTCTACTGGGCAGACCCATGGAGAAACTTCATGTAAGTACACAACCAGTCTGTTGGACAGACCCATGGAGAAACTTCATGTAAGTACACAACCAGTCTACTGGGCAGACCCATGGAGAAACTTCATGTAAGTACACAACCAGTCTGTTGTCTGTTGGACAGACCCATGGAGAAACTTCATGTAAGTACACAACCAGTCTGTTGGACAGACCCATGGAGAAACTCCATGTAAGTACACAACCAGTCTACTGGACAGACCCATGGAGAAACTTCATGTAAGTACACAACCAGTCTGTTGGACAGACCCATGGAGAAACTCCATGTAAGTACACAACCAGTCTGTTGGACAGACCCATGGAGAAACTTCATGTAAGTACACAACCAGTCTGTTGGACAGACCCATGGAGAAACTTCATGTAAGTACACAACCAGTCTGTTGGACAGTTTACTGGGCAGACCCATGGAGAAACTTCATGTAAGTACACAACCAGTCTGTTGTCTGTTGGACAGACCCATGGAGAAACTTCATGTAAGTACACAACCAGTCTGTTGGACAGACCCATGGAGAAACTCCATGTAAGTACACAACCAGTCTACTGGACAGACCCATGGAGAAACTTCATGTAAGTACACAACCAGTCTACTGGGCAGACCCATGGAGAAACTTCATGTAAGTACACAACCAGTCTGTTGGACAGACCCATGGAGAAACTTCACGTAAGTACACAACCAGTCTACTGGGCAGACCCATGGAGAAACTTCATGTAAGTACACAACCATCTGTTGGACAGTCTACTGGGCAGACCCATGGAGAAACTCCATGTAAGTACACAACCAGTCTACTGGGCAGACCCATGGAGAAACTTCATGTAAGTACACAACCAGTCTGTTGGACAGTCTACTGGGCAGACCCATGGAGAAACTTCACGTAAGTACACAACCAGTCTACTGGGCAGACCCATGGAGAAACTTCATGTAAGTACACAACCAGTCTGTTGGACAGACCCATGGAGAAACTCCATGTAAGTACACAACCAGTCTACTGGACAGACCCATGTAGAAACTTCATGTAAGTACACAACCAGTCTACTGGACAGACCCATGGAGAAACTCCATGTAAGTACACAACCAGTCTGTTGGACAGACCCATGGAGAAACTCCATGTAAGTACACAACCAGTCTGTTGTACAGACCCTTGGAGAAACTTCATGTAAGTACACAACCATCTGTTGGACAGACCCATGGAGAAACTTCATGTAAGTACACAACCAGTCTGTTGGACAGACCCATGGAGAAACTTCATGTAAGTACACAACCAGTCTGTTGGACAGACCCATGGAGAAACTTCATGTAAGTACACAACCAGTCTGTTGGACAGACCCATGGAGAAACTTCATGTAAGTACACAACCAGTCTACTGGACAGACCCATGGAGAAACTTTATGTAAGTACACAACCAGTCTGTTGGACAGACCCATGGAGAAACTCGGTGTTGGTACACAACCAATCTACAAGATAGATCCATTGAGAAACTTAAGTATATAGCATAAAATGTATATAGAAAAGTATGTATTAGGTATATGTACTCAGCAGAGAGGCCCTTAAAGAAACTTTATATTGTCTATTTGGTGTACAATTGAGAGTCATCTAGAAATTGAATTCAGCTTGTACATTTCTGAGCAGTTTCCTAGTAGAAAAATTTTAGTTTGCAAATAATCAATTTGCTACAAATATAGGGTAATCTATATATTGATGACAAATTTTACAATTTGTTCTAAAATTTTGTTTTAGGTGTTCTTTGATGGGGTACAGAACAGAGTGGCATCTGGGGTGAAGCCGGAGGAAGTTGGGTACCAGCTGGCCTTCAGTAAACAGGAACTACGCAAGGTCATCAAGGAATATCCTGGCAAAGAGGTATAACTGAACTCTTTATATACACTGTCAAGGAGCTGAATATGTGTTAGAGTCAATAGGTGACCTTGGTGTCTGGAGTCAATGTGTGATCTTAGTGTGTCAAGTCAATGTGTGGTTTGGTATGTGAAGTCAATGTTTGGTCTTGATTTAGGGCTCTGTTGAGTCAATATGTGAAATTCATGAATACCTATCGTTCCAATTTGAAATTTTACTTCATATGCATATATCATTGATTTTTGAGTATTAAATTAAGGTCCATTATAAAGTAGTAGTCACCATGCCAACCTTACTGTATTTTTACAGGTGAAAAAGAGCCTTGAACATTTATATAAAAAAGTAGAGAAACAGCTGTGTGAGGAAGAAAACTTGCTGCAGGTAAGATTGATATGATTTGTCTACTTGTTGATATTAAATCTGACCCTTACATCACATTGTTTGTTATCTCAATGACAGATACTACACATTGCTTGTACCTACTGCAGTCACTAGTTTTATACAAAGAACATACATCTTATTTGATATTTGTAAATATTATGTGCTCTGTATTTCAGGTAACCTGGCTAGCCATGCAGGATGTGTTCCTCAGACAGTGCAAATCTCACGAGGACCTGATCAACAAGTGCTACCCAGATTCAGGCATATCACTCGAGTTCAGCGTTGGTGATGTCCTACAATACTTTTCTGATATCGCCCAGTCACATTAAGAATGCCTGTTTTCTATGGAGATATCTTTAGAGTACTTTTGGTACCGACCAGCCACAACAGGAATGACATTGGGGTTTAGTTATCATCCATGCACATCTTGAACAAGTCTACTGTTGGTTACATCCAGCAGCGCTTTGTGATATTGCAGAGTTAAATAAAGTTTATATACTGTGGCAATAACTTGCGCAACCTTTAGTATTTGATGTTGGCTAGTCTCACACTTTCCTTATAGTTAACTTTATTTTCCAGGATACTTTGAATGGTCAGCGTTTATGAAGTTGACAAATTTACTCCAGATAATTACAACTAAACTTCAAACATGCCACATTGTTCAATAGCATAGTGGAGCCTCGACCAGTGTGTGTACTGTGTAAAATCACACTATAGATTAATGTTGCTTCTGATCTTGTTTCATGTCTCAAGTGTTTATTTTCTTCAGATCATCAGCCCTATTTCAAATCATGATAAATGATAATACAATAAAATATACTTCAAACAGTCTCTAAATATACTGATAGTGAAAAACAAGTCCTATGATTGTGAACACTACTCATTCATATAATGTAAGGCAAATCAAAAAAATGTTTCAAGTACTTAAATAAGATCTGCTTTTGACATAATTTTAGCTATAGATCGTCAATATGTTTACGATTTAACACACCTTTGATATCAAACCATTTTTCCATTTTTCTATCTCATAAGTTAGCAGTTCTCTCTCTGCTATAGGAAATGCAAGTGTCAACCTAACAGAAGTGTGTGGCTGTGGCTTTTAACTTACATATTGGTACAGAAAGCTGGTACATATATGATAGGCATTTTATGTCTATTTATTTCAGAGCTAGGATGATAATTTGAAGTGCAATATCTTGTTGATATAGATACAATGCTTCTGTATTTATATAGTGTAATGATTAATGTATTAATTTGAATCATGTGTTGTTTTTTGTGAATAAATGTTATATTGATTTACAGTGGACTTTGTTGAGTTTTTCAGTATAATGGTGCCTGGTGGGTCTATAACAACACCTGATCCAATTTCTCCTTTCTGTAAGAACACTTGAGGGTGGGGGATGGTAATCCTGGTAATTCACCAAAAACATTGAGTCCAACACAGATCTTCTTTATCCGAATTTAATAAGAAGCATTATTGTCGTGTTTTGGCAAAAATGCGAGCCATCAACAACACTTGCCATTAAATTTTAAAAAAGGAAAAATTCACTGTGTTGGGCTCACTCCTTGTAGTGAATCAGTGTATGAAGGTCTTGTGCTGTTTTGACCAGAGGTAACATGGCATGAACTTAGCTACTGATGCTGACATTCAAGCAAGTGAATGACTATATCAACAATCAAAAGTTAGTGTCCAAGAAAAAGACGGAAAAAAATATGACCTCTGAATGTTGATGGGTGGTAAGATTGCCTTCAAACTTCTGTGAGCTATCAGTATAATGAAGAGAATTTTTAGAGGTGACTGAATTCTGAAACATGTAAAATAATGTTAGTTGTATTGCCTTGCATTGATTTTCACCTCTTAAGTAGGCTCGTCATTCATATTCATACAGGTACTAAAATTGACCTTAATGAACCTTCCCTCTCTGATGCCCTCAGATCGAAAGACTTGGGGCCTATTGTTTTTGTGGTGTCTGTTGTTAACTTTAACTTTGCCCATAACTTTTACATAGTAAGTGTGTTCCTTATGACAAAACCTTTCTGGTTGTAAAAAAAATTTTGACCATTTGACCTTGACTATTATATTTGACCTAAATTTGAAAGTTGAAAAAAAGCATTACCAAAATGAAGACAGAAGTGTTTCACAAGGTGTGCATGGCAATTATCACATGCCTTATACAGTAGTTTTGAATTGCCACTTCATAATTTGTTGCAACTGGGGGTATAGTAAACGCATCTTGTTTCTGGTTCAATTATTTGTAAGACATGTTCCCATAAAATAGAGTTCTATACATAGAAATTACATAAGCAATCATCACCTTTATCATCTAGATGTATTAAACTACTGTATATATCTAGTAAGTGGTTCAGTGATCAGCATTGCTTTCTCTTTAGTGATCTTACTATATAAGTAATAATGAACCTGTTATCCAGAAAAAATGAAAGATGAATAATTCAGGAATTGAAACTAACTGATTGATGCCAAAACTGCATTAAAAAAATCAGTGCAGTTTAATTGACTCATGAGATCTCAGAAATACAGAGATCACGTGATTTACTACTGTCTTAGAGGCTTTCATCATCAAGCATAAATTACAGCTTCAAAGCTTCAAAACACATTGATGTCAAAATTTACAAAATTTTCCATGTTAGAACAGTGATTAATCTATGCATATATTTGTAATGACATACATTTCTTAATTGTACAACTAAAATTGGGAAAATTTAATATACTATACACAGGGAATGTCCTGTTATTTTCTAATTTGTTCAAGAGGAAAAAGTCAAGATGTTTTAAAATGTAGATAAATTACTGCAAGAATCAATTTTGCAGTTTATGCATGAAAATAATTGTAGTCAACATAATCAATCGTTTGTATTAAATTCTTTGAATTTCCAATTATGTGACTGGAACCAATTCCCATCATTAAGTACCAGAATGGAGGTGTAACAAAACAGATACCAGTCATCACTATTATCATTTTATTACATCAATACAGTGTCACTATACAATTTACAATTAGTCTCTTACTCAGGCAGACCACACAAGTTTCTGTGGTCAATCTCAAGACACCAGACAAACAACAAATGTAACAGCTTCATATCCATGAGACAGACCACACAATTTGATTTCATACTGTTTTTTGAGATAGAGTGTGTATGGCTTCCATTACTTCAGCGCTGTTGAGGTCGGACAATGATTTGCTCACTTCTTGACCATAATCTGAAAACAATAAAATAGAAATGCTTTCAAAAAATTATACAGGCATATGAAATGATATCATATAAATGAATATATATATGTGTTATATTTCACATGTAGGTTTTTGTGACACATTATCAACAGTTACATGGGTGTTTCATATATATATGTTATGACTGCACATTTTATGTCTGTTTGCAGAGCAAGAATCTGTTCAGAGCATGGACATTAAGACTTTGAATCATTGTCTTGTGAAAAAAAACACAACATTAATCCTCTTTTGTCACATGCTAGGGGCTAGAGGTTTTTTCCAAAGAAAACTGAACAGACACGCATTCAATCAAGTTCAAAATTCCATAGTCTGCAGCCACTTAAGATCACTGGACATAAAATTTACAGTAAACTAATTATAAAACACGAGTCAATAGATATTCCTCTGTACTTATTTTTGACTTGCATGTTTCCTTTAATAAGAGATGCACATGCATGTAGATTTGTTTATAAGTTCATAAGAAAGTAGGGGTGGGTGGTATATATTAGGGAGGGGCCTTTTAGTAGAACTAATACAATAAGTGTAGATACATCAAAATCTTACCATAACGAGCATATACCCTTGGTTGCACTCCACTACATTCTCGGATCAGAATAGGAAATTTAGGATTGGCAGTCTTCAGTGGCACATATCCTTTTTCAATGAACTCTCTGTAAAGTATTCAAAATGAAATTATTAGTCCACAAAATGTTACAATGGTATATTTTTTTTCAAATTTGGTGTCTTGATGATGATGATGATGATGATGATGATGACGAAGTACTTGTAAATGAATATGGTACAAATAAAAAAAACCTGTGAATTAATATGTATACTCTTTGGTAACAGATAGTCCATACAGATGTCAAAAGACAACTGACTGATACACCCTAGGGGCTTATTATACCCAATCTTGCAACTGAAAATTGGAAGGGATGGAGGGAATGAAGTTTTGTAATCTGTGTGCATGTTCATTAGAATATAGTAGTCATTGTAAAATGAGAAAATCCTTTTCAGCATTCTACAGACTTCATTCCTTGTGGGACTGGTTCCCTCAACAACTTCAGAATGTTTAATGATAATCATATCTCAGACAGGTCCAGTTTCAGATTGTCAGGTCAGGGTCACAATAATGTTTCATGAAATATTTGTCAGCATACTCGCAGCTTCATACCTTCAGACCTTAGAGATATAGTACATTTACCACTTTGTACCCAAGACCTCATACACTTACAAAAGAAGACTGAAATCTCAGAAAATTTCAAGTTTCCATATTGTAAGGTCAAGGGTTGTGAAGTAAAGTAACTTACTTCAGAAAATCCTTGTCAATGCGCTGTAGGAATTAGTAGCTTCAATTCTTAAAGTATCAAATTTAACACACTTAAGATTTAGTTGAAATGGTTCAGATGGCATAGAATAAATTTATCCCACATCAAAGGAATGTACCAGTAAAACTAAAAATGTAGTTTTGGAATCCTTTCAAACATAGAACAATGAATCAATAACAAAAATATACTTCATTTTAACCTGTAGCTCAAGATATGTTTTTAATGCAATTGGAAAACAAGTGATAATCAACATGATAGATTTAGACAAGTATGGCTTGTCCCTACATCCGCTGTCTAGTCCAGCATCAGTCAAGATCTTTGTCTGGTGCTTCCCTTGCAGACTCAACCGGCCAAACCAGTTTCAATGGCATACACGAAAGTGGCTTTATAAAATCATTGATTGAATATGGTGACATACAAGTTTTGGGTTTCAGTAGCTATCACTGATCTTTAGAGTGATTCGTTGAAATGATAGGAGTGGCAAAAAGTTTAGAAGGAAAAACCCGGCAAAGATTAATCCGGAGTTCCACAAAAGTATATAAATCTGCAACAAGGGATCAGAATATATTTCACCTGTTTACGTCCAGTGAAGCCAAGGTCATACATGGCCACTGAATAAAATAGTATAATAAAATCATATATGTGTTATTTGTTTAGTGTCCACTCAATTCCTATCATTTAATTTACCTGACACCTTGACTGGTCTTAGAAGTCTGACATAAGTGTATTCTCAGTTCTTTCAGACTTCTACCGAAGATCGGAGCTACTTTAGACGCCATTTTGTAATTTTTGTGAGTCTACAATTGAATAAGCGGAAAGTCATATGTAAATTGTTTCTCGATATAATTTCTTTTAACTGTATTTAAACATTTTTATCAAAATTATGAAGTGACTTTATTATTTTACTTCAACATTTAAATTTTTCCATCTATTGCTGTTTTTAATTTGATTTGTTTCCTTTTCGTTGTATTTTGAAATTTATATCTACCTTGAAACCAAACATGGCCGACGTACACATCCGGAAAGGCATTCCACTTTTTCTTTCGGAATTTTTTATTTCAAAAAGGAAGTAGCTTTCTGTCAAACTGGAGTAGCGTGAAGAGTACAGCATCGTCATTCGAATATATTGATATCAATATGAATTTAAGTGCAAATCTTTATTTATGTTTTCTCTGTTATTAATTTTTCACAAATTGATCGTTGTTTTCACTTTTCGGTCCGATGCCAGTTGAAATTACGTGTGGTAGATCACATTTTCGCACATGACCGTTACAGTTTCGACGTAAAGACTTAAATAAAAAAAATGGATAAATACGTTAAAGTCAGACAGATAGGCGAAGGTGCCTTTGGTAAAGCAGTTCTAGTAAGACAAAAGCAGAACAACAAGCAGATGGTCATCAAAGAGATTAACATTGCAAAGGTAAATTTTTGCTTCATTAACTTTTTTTTCTGTCTTGGATAAATCGTCAGCATCACCGTTGTCTTTCTTTCGGTCATTCTAGAAAGGGTTTTGTTACAACAGTGTTGTTTATAAGGTACTGGAGCATCAGCAAATCTGGCTATATATGATTATACGTTTGTAGCTAAATGTAAACATACAGGTGAGGTCAGGTCACATTTCTTTCGTGCAGATCGAAAAAAAATTATCACAAATCACGTAAGTCAGTGAAATGAATGAATGTTTTTGGCATATTTGTTCAACTTACTGTGACTTTTTTTGGAATTTCATTGTTACATAGTTTCAGTATGTACCTACATATACATACACTCACTATTTAGTAACAAACTCTATAACAAGCCCATATAACATATTTATTCATTGTGTTGTCAGCAGCTAAGCATCCCTGTGATGCAGATTCGCGTCACAAGTTTGCTTTCACCATGATGTTTCTGTACAAAAAAAAATTATAACCCATCATTGATGTGAATTGTGTGGTGGATGCAAGTGAAATTACAATGATAAAATTCAACCAATTCACCAGATTTGTTTTTCTATGACAAAAAACATTTATTTTTCCAAATGGAAGATTCATCATCCAGTTTTTCAATGTGCACACCATGATCATAACCAGGTACATGTTTGCAATTGCCCCATATAGCCAGATTGGGCAGTGCTACAGTACCTGTTTATGTATCACAGGATCTGTCTCTGCCTATATAGACAGATTGGGCAGTGCTACAGTACCTGTTTATATATCACGGGATCTGTCTCTGTCTATATAGGCAGATCACCTGTTTATGTATCACAGGATATGTCTCGGAATTTATTCAATTGCTTTTCTTTTTGTTCAGTTACATTCACTAATCATGTGTATGTAAAGGTTTCCCCATGATTGCTCTTCTTCACAGCTTTAATTCTCCCAACACAATTATTTTTGGGATGAAGATATTTGAGTGTTACACTAATCCTCTTCCTGCTACCTGTTGTAAAGGTCTTTAACTTTGCCTGTGGCATCTCTGACCCATTTCAAATACTGGTTGCTCATTTTTTTTTTTTTTTGGTTGTTGCACTCTTAGATAGAGGCATGGTTACATTTGAAATATTTGTGTTTCCAGTGTTCATTCAGTCTTGACTTTAACTGATTTAACGTTTGTGATGTAATAACACTTAAAGACGGGTAATTCTAGTGATTTATCATTCTATTTGGGAAGTTCTTCTTTCAGATATTCAGTCTATAATGTTTTTTCACTAGTTTCTTGCCGTTACCTCTAGGTTGTGTGTTTCACTTAATGTGAACAAGGCTAGGGTGTTTTTGTACATTGTTCACTAATTTACTCCATTGAAGATTAATTAATGATTATAGAAAAGATACCCAAATCTAATTATTAACATTTAATAAACAGCATAGGAAATGAAAAGATCTACATCCACAGTGAAAGTGTGTATTCTCAACTATTTTGGCCTTTGATTCTCAAAGTTTTGGAATAAAAGATGCTGACAAGGCATTGTCAGAGACAGTCTACTTTGTTCCAAGATGATGATACATATGCAAACCTTTAAGATAACATACCAGTAATTGGTTCCCTACATTAACTATCAGCATGAACTAAGTCACTTTTCTGGTGAAGCTTATTTTTTTTGTGGTAATTTGAACCAAATTTGATTCGTTATTTTATGGAAAATTATTGAACATACCAAAATAGTGTTTTGTCAAATACAACTTTACTCAGCATGTATCATGTACATACAATAACATAAAAACTGAATGTTTGTTATGTATTCATGCATGACTTACTGGCCCAAAAGCCTATATAAAACAATAAATAAATAAATAACTGAGATATTGTTTTACAGATGAATTCAAAGGAAAGAGAAGAGGCCAGAAAGGAGGTATTTGAACTTCAAGTTCTTCTGTTTATCTATAATTACATTTTTGTAAGATTCAAAACTCTCAAGTTTTGAATTTGTCTTAAGTTGAGAAATTAAAGTAATAATGGTCTATATAAGCTAGTTTAGATTAACATCTGAGTAAAATAGTTCTTATCGTTAAGCATACTCTTATGAGTTTTAAGGTTTAAAAAATTATTTTTTATAGACTGATGAAAATCCTTATCATGAATGCTTGTTATAAACAGTAATGGTTTTACCATCAACAGTATAGAATCAACATACATGTACCCATGTTCTATATACTGTTCAGTTTTATTTTCACATGTACCATTGTTGCTCGTTTCTTTAATTGATCTTAATTTGTTTGTTATAGGTTGCTGTTTTGGCACAACTCCATCATCCCAATATTGTTGCCTATCGAGAATCTTTTGAAGGTAGATATATTACATACATATATAAATCTACTAGTGTCCTCTAATAAGCCCAGCGGGCAACATATAATCTCTGACTCAAAGAAGAGAGCTGGGCTTATAACAGGACAATTGTGAAGCCTTCATTCACATTTCTGATGAAAATGCAGTAGATGGAAGGGCTTATTGTCATGTATGGGCTTATTGTCAGGTATGGGCTTATTGTCAGACATGGACTTATTGTAGAATACATACAAGACATATATGTACGAGTAATTCTAAAGTCTTTTGGAACAAGCATTCCTAATTTTTATTCTGTTATCATATAACATAAAAAATGATAATTATTCAGTGGAAAGGAGATTGTCAGGAGAAACAAGTATGATGCAATACAGAGATTCTGAATTCAAATATGATTGCCTCAAGGATGTGTTTAAATGGCTACAATTAGAAATTGTTAACATTATGATTATTGCTTTCAAAATTTATAACCTGTATGGATATATTGATGACAAATTGTAACCCAGCTCAAAACTACTCGGGGATTATGTAATAAATGTTCAGAACACATTACATTTTGTACTTTTGAAAGAACTAATACTACCTCACAGGTGGAATAATTTATAATACTATTGATTTGAAGTACATTACCTTGTATATAGTTGCTTATTGCAAACATGAATTTTGTTACGGCTCCTTGTACAGACCTTTTGAAATTGGTATTTGTTTAAAGTGAGAAAGATGAGATTACATTGTTTAATACAACTTAGGGGCTTGATTGAAATATACACCCCTAAAACTGTCTTGTTGTCAAGTATATACTTGAGATGGTTGATAAAAAAATGCATGCCAAAAATCCCCATGCTGGTTAAGTAAAATGCAAGAAAATGTTGTGTTTCCTGTTTTAACTGCAAAACAGTGGGATAGCTAGGTATGAAAATAAAATTGTGATTCCAGTCATGTAGTTAGAAAAATTATTTTATTTTGTATTCTTTTATATTTTCTGAAAAAACTTTAAAATGTCAGTACTTCCTTAATAAATGTAATGAACTTTGACCTGATCTCCCCTGCAGATTTTATGAAGGTTTAAAACATTGTCTGCTTGTTTTAGGTTCTTATCAGTTTCACTGTTTGGTTTTGTGTATCTAATTTATATGTTGGGGGCCACCATAGATCAGTCAGTTTGAGTTTGGGCCTAAGATCAGAGGTGCATGGTTCAATACGCATTACCTGTGGCAGTGGGTGTTTCTTAGGAAGCTTAGAAATGGACTTATCTGTGCTGACATGGTTGTGATTTTGGGCATGACACTGTATCCTTATTGCTCTGGATGGCATGTGGTTGGCCTTCCAAATGTTGTTCAGTAAGGTAGCCACCAGCTACTAATCTGGCTGATCATGGGGCAAAAACTCAACAAACAAACAAAGTAATCTACGCATTTAAATTGCTGATTGACAGTACTGTATTCTATATATGTATATCTATTTTACATGAAGTGATATGTTATACACTCATAGCAATGCTGAAAATAGTAAAAGTGCCGGCTCATTTTATTCCTATATCGATAATAATGAAGAGAACAGACAGACACTCATTATCTGCTGAAATGAATATAAAATGCTAAAGTAATAACCGAAGGAATCAGAGAGTAGAAAAGAATAGTCTGTAATAGTATTATTTCCCCTCTAACAGAATAAAGAATAGTCTGTAATAGTATTATTTCCCCTCTAACAGAATAAAGAATAGTCTGTAATAGTATTATTTCCCCTCTAACAGAATAAAGAATAGTCTGTAATAGTATTATTTCCCCTCTAACAGAATAAAGAATAGTCTGTGATAGTATTATTTCCCCTCTAACAGAATAAAGAATAGTCTGTAATAGTATTATTTCCCCTCTAACAGAATAAAGAATAATCTGTATTTGTTTATTTTTCCCTCTAACAGAATACAAAATAATCTGTATTTGTTTATTTTTCCCTCTAACAGAATACAAAATAATCTGTATTTGTTTATTTTTCCCTCGAACAGAATAAAGAATAGTCTGTAATAGTATTATTTCCCCTCTAACAGAATAAAGAATAGTCTGTAATAGTATCATTTCCCCTCTAACAGAATAAAGAATAATCTGTATTTGTTTATTTTTTCCTCTAACAGAATACAAAATAATCTGTATTTGTTTATTTTTCCCTCGAACAGAATAAAGAATAGTCTGTAATAGTATCATTTCCCCTCTTACAGAATAAAGATTTGATTTCACTGTCAGCTACAGTTGATACATGGATACACACATAACTCTTTTAAAATGAAAAAAATGTGTAATGGCTAATTCTTTGTTGTGTTTTTTATAACTGACCTGTTCAGGGAAAGATTACCTTCGGTATATTTCATGCTGAAATAAAAAAAATATTGAGTAAATATTATCACAGAAAAACCCTGGGACTTTTAAACTGGTAGTGTTGTACTGTGTTTACTGGTTTACCTTCAGTTTTCTTTTGATTTGGTATCTTTTATCTGTTCATGTATTAAATAAATAAAATTGAGATTTGGGTTTGTTATTGTAATTTATGAGACTTCTTGTGTTATATGGATTTATAAACGTTGAGACTATAAATAAGTTTAAACTGTTTTTATAGTGAAAAACCATGAAAATACCAACATGGCAATATAATCATAATTCAAATTCAATAAAACTAGGGCAAAATATGAACAAAAGAAAGATTTACACAGAGACTCATGAAAAAGTACAAGGACAATAAGACCAGGTATGTCAGAAGAGTAAGTGTCTTCTGCTTCATTGACCACACATCATGTAGATCTTTGTCAATAAAAGTTTGTAATGTCACATTCTCAAATGAGAACAAGGTATACAACAACTGAACAAACAGGCAAACTAACGAGCATCAAACACGTCCAGCTTCATATCGTACAACGGAACCAACAGACAAACTAACGAGCATCAAACACATCCAGCTTCATGTCACACTAAGAAATAGTATATTTCTCAAGATGTAAGTTTGTTCATGAATTAAACTTTGAATATTAATTGATTTGTTTGACATGATTTCAGAGAGAGGATTACTATATATTGTGATGGACTTCTGTGAGAAAGGTATGTATTTATGGTTTTTTCAGTATTGTAGTAATCTTGTTGTACAAAGATGCAGAAACAAATTGCAGTAGAATTATTTCATTTCTCAGAAATGGCTTTAAACCAATTCTAAAATAGATGGAAATTGCAATACAGCATATTGACATGTGGAAGTTATTAGTGTTACAAGGTTGATACAAATACCATATTATTCTCTGATAGAAGATTTTCAGTCCAAAAGCTTGAAATTGGGAAATATTTTCCAGTACTTATATCATCACATTCACTGAGAACACTTTTTGATATGCTATTTATATACCAATTCTAACATTAAAATGAAAAGGGATGAAGAAGTATCTTGATTCCATAATGGAGAATCCTTATGATGGGTTAGTTACACTGCACCTAATAATGTAAAATATGTATTCTAGGTTAGTTACATTATACCAAATATATGTAATACTATGTATTCTAGGTTAGTTACACTGTACCATATATATGTAATACTATGTATTCTAGGTTTGTTATACTGTACCAAATATATGTAATATTATGTATTCTAGGTTAGTTACACTGTACCAAATATATGTAATATTGTGTATTCTAGGTTAGTTACACTGTACCAAATATATGTAATATTATGTATTCTAGGTTAGTTACACTGTACCAAATATATGTAATATTGTGTATTCTAGATTAGTTACACTGTACCAAATAATTGTAATATTATGTATTCTGGATTAGTTACACTGTACCTAATATATGTAATATTATGTATTCTAGGTTAGTTACACTGTACCAAATAATTGTAATAATATGTATTCTAGGTTAGTTACACTGTACCAAATAAATTTAATATTATGTATTCTAGGTTTGTTACACTGTACCAAATATATGTAATATTATGTATTCTAGGTTAGTTACACTGTACCAAATAATTGTAATATTATGTATTCTTGGTTAGCTACACTGTACCAAATATATGTAATACTATGTATTCTAGGTTAGTTACACTGTACCATATATATGTAATACTATGTATTCTAGGTTTGTTACACTGTACCAAATAATTGTAATATTATGTATTCTAGGTTAGTTACACTGTACCATATATATGTAATACTATGTATTCTAGGTTTGTTACACTGTACCAAATATATGTAATACTATGTATTCTAGGTTAGTTACACTGTACCATATATATGTAATACTATGTATTCTAGGTTTGTTACACTGTACCAAATATATGTAATACTATGTATTCTAGGTTAGTTACACTGTACCATATATATGTAATACTATGTATTCTAGGTTTGTTACACTGTACCAAATAATTGTAATATTATGTATTCTTGGTTAGCTACACTGTACCAAATATATGTAATATTATGTATTCTAGGTTAGTTACACTGTACCATATATATGTAATACTATGTATTCTAGGTTTGTTACACTGTACCAAATATATGTAATACTATGTATTCTAGGTTAGTTACACTGTACCATATATATGTAATACTATGTATTCTAGGTTTGTTACACTGTACCAAATATATGTAATATTATGTATTCTAGGTTAGTTACACTGTACCATATATATGTAATACTATGTATTCTAGGTTTGTTACACTGTACCAAATATATGTAATATTATGTATTCTAGGTTAGTTACACTGTACCATATATATGTAATACTATGTATTCTAGGTTTGTTACACTGTACCAAATATATGTAATACTATGTATTCTAGGTTAGTTACACTGTACCATATATATGTAATACTATGTATTCTAGGTTTGTTACACTGTACCAAATAATTGTAATATTATGTATTCTTGGTTAGCTACACTGTACCAAATATATGTAATATTATGTATTCTAGGTTAGTTACACTGTACCATATATATGTAATACTATGTATTCTAGGTTTGTTACACTGTACCAAATATATGTAATATTATGTATTCTAGGTTAGTTACACTGTACCATATATATGTAATATTATGTATTCTAGGTTTGTTATACTGTACCAAATATATGTAATATTATGTATTCTAGGTTAGTTACACTGTACCAAATATATGTAATACTGTGTATTCTAGGTTAGTTACACTGTACCATATATATGTAATACTATGTATTCTAGGTTAGTTACACTGTACCAAGTATATGTAATACTATGTATTCTAGGTTAGTTACACTGTACCATATATATGTAATATTATGTATTCTAGGTTAGTTACACTGTACCAAATATATGTAATACTGTGTATTCTAGGTTTGTTACACTGTACCATGTATATGTAATACTATGTATTCTAGGTTTGTTACACTGTACCATATATATGTAATATTATGTATTCTAGGTTAGTTACACTGTACCATATATATGTAATACTATGTATTCTAGGTTAGTTACACTGTACCATATATATGTAATATTATTGTAATATTATATATTTTAGGTGACCTTTATTCCAAAATTAATTCTCAAAGAGGACTCCTTATACCAGAAGATCAGGTAATTTCTTATGATGTACAGTCTGTATTATGTGTATATATTCATGTATTATTTTCATACCACTGCAAAATTTTGTAATAAGAAAGAATATTTAATATCTTTTTATCTTTTGAATTTTTGCATACCTCACTTAATTACATGTTTGAATGTTATATTACAAGGAGATATCGAAGATTTCACCAATTTCTAAAGAGAACATCATACATTTAAAACACAGATGCCTAGACATATTATATAAGTCGTGTCATGACAGTTTATTGATATAAACCAAAGTTTAAGAGGTTATTATTATAGATTTTTTTAAAAATCCTAAATGTACTGACATATTAAATGTTATGTCTATCTAATTTCTGGGTTTTTTTTAGTGTCCTATGATACTTTCGTTCCAGCCCACAAATTAAAATATTTACTTTTTTCTTTTCTCTGTAGGTGCTAGATATGTTTGTACAGATGTGTCTAGCCATTAAACACATCCATGATAGAAAGATCCTTCATCGAGACATCAAGTCACAGGTTTGTGAAGATGTGTCTAGCTATTAACCACATCCATGTTAGAGTTAAAATACACTACAGAGATAATTTATTGTAGAAATCAAATTCTAAAAGGAAGTTTTATTTTATACATTTCCAGTATTCAATAGTTGTAGTAATTGATCTGGGATTTTGGAATGTGTTTAATATGTGTAGGATTAAGTGAGGTGTAAGAGAAGGGAATGTAACTGTTAAAGAGACGCCATAAAAACCTAAAAATTTGTGTATTAGAGTTCCCATAATATAATGCCTGTTGTCTGATTCTTGTATACAATATAAAGTTACTAGTACATGTAGAGAAATTCTGAAACACCAATTTAAGAAAACAAGATACTCTCTCTAAATTTACCACTGAAAATTTATTGGTGTCTCTGATGAAGATGTGCTGCTATTCTGCCAGCTATTTTTTCTCAAACACAATGTAGTAAATACAAAATTTCATAAAAGTTACCAATGTTTCATTGCATTGCCCTTGTTACATTGAAAATAATTTTCCCATTTGATTTAAAGCTCTTAAATCTGTATGTTCTTCATGTAAAATAAAACCTATTCTAGTTTTGTGTTGAAGAATGTTTTCTTTCTTTTTAGAATATATTTATAACGGCTGATGGACGTATCAAATTGGGTGATTTTGGAATTGCTAAAGTGCTAAACAGGTAAATGTAACTGACTGTACAACAGAAAATATGTGTTCAATACAAAATAGATTATCATTGTATTAAAATGTTTGAAATATGGCAAGTGCTCATTATTTTAAGTTCATCTACAAAATGACTTGCAAAATTATTTTTAACATGAAAACATAAGACTGTGCTCTGCATTAAAAAGACTAGATACAATTTGACTAAAGATTTATGGCCATTTATAATACATAATCAATGATATTGTGATTTTCCAGTACGGTGGAGCTAGCCAGGACTTGTATAGGGACCCCTTACTACTTATCTCCAGAGATTTGTGAAAACCGTCCATACAACAACAAAAGGTACCTAGTAATGTATTTACCAAGTCTGCTGGCAATTCATATAAAAAATATTTTCTTTGGTGCGATCCGTCAATAATTGTTCAAAAACAACAGTAAGCTTTGGTGATCATTTTGTAGGTGCAATGTCCATGTGCGAGGTATCAAGCCATTCCAATAACAGAAAATCTTGACCAAATTCTTTCAGTAAACCACAACCTTTTCTAAGATTTGATTACTAGTGCTGGGATTTCTTATCTTACTCCCAATGTGTGTATCTTAGATATGAACCATATCATCAATTAAAATCTAGTAAAGTGATTACCAGGTAGTATCAAAATTTATCCTGTAACTGGCACTGCCATTGTCAGAAAACACCTACCACATATCCTTTTGCTGTATTCAGCAGCTTATTTTAGCATATACACTAATTTGATAGAATTATTTTCTGATTTGCTGAGATATTTTATTCAGAAATATGAAAAAACTTTTATATAAGCAATCTTCTCTGTCTAAAATTTGGCAAATTACTTTCATTTTATATATCAATTGAAGCGTGGAACCTTATTTCTGCTCTTAGTAATTATTTTGATTTGAATCGTCAGACATGATTCAATGTAGCTTCAATGTCAGGTAAATGAAGATTGAATAAATCTAACAAACCGTTAAAATTTTGATGGTCTGAATTTTCTATAATTACTGCAGGATAAAAAGGATACAATGTTTATATCTTAAAATATTTGCAATTTGGCCTGAGACAGACAGACAAAAGTGGCTTGCTTAAGGCATTTGTGTCTTACTTCACCCTCGCCAGAATACAGCTTTAATTTTAAGACCCTGACTATGTATTCTCTATATACATACACTTATACCATGACTTGGAAAACAGTGATGACCATATTGAAGAAAACATACGAAATGAAAATCCATAGGATGAACTACAGTATCTTTCACTCCCATATGTTAAAGAGATAGATAGATCTCAACCCTCTGGTGAAAAATATTTAGTTATAAAAAGAGGCTTTCTTAGTGTTTTGCAACATAAAAATCTTCCCCTAATGGTTTTGATTGTCATGTATTTTTCTCTTACTCTGCTGTCCTTCTTTTATGTAAAGATGTTGTCATCTCAATTCTTGACAACATAATTATTGAAATGTTGATGAGATCTCCTATAAATGAGTTGAGAATCCACCCTCTCCCCCAAGGTGAGGAAATCTCACAATGGTAAAAACATGGAAACACTTGTTCAGAGTATTAGGAGAAAGAGCTATGATATCTGCATGGCTGTTGATTTTAAGAGTAGTGCTGGGACAGAAACACAATGGACAATATGTGGTCAGTGAGATGGTTATGTTGGCTGAAGTTTATGCTATATGGTAAACAAATATATAATTTGTAAGTACTATTATTGCTCTCTTTGTTTTTTTTCAGTGATATCTGGTCTTTAGGTTGTGTTCTCTACGAGATGACAACACTAAAACATGCTGTAAGTTATTTTCATCAAGGATTTTTTTTTATTTCAAGCAACTGAATAGAATTTTTGAAAATCTTTTAAATAACTTAAATAAGTGTTTTTGTGATGGCATTCCACTTTTTCTAAATGCAAAGTTATCTGCTCTTAATCATTTGTTTGTGACAGTTACATTATTTGAAAACTGCAAAATGTTCTCCTCAAACTAATGACACAATAATCAATACCTTCGATAAGAGGAGACAATTCTGTATTACATAAAGAGAGAATTAATATATTAAAGAGCTTTCCATCTTAAGACCTTGATAATCTGTGATTGAACAAACAGTGTAGACATCTGTACTGTTGTCTAGCTATCTGAGGCTGTAACTCTGAGTAAATCATCTTCCATAAAGATGCTGTATTTATGATTTGTACATAAAGGGATTTTTGTATGGTTTATGTCTACTACTCACATTTAAATGATATACACTCTGTACTTAATATATCAGGCCTATGATTTGGTATCCTTTACATTGCAGTATGAAGCTGGAAACATGAAGAATTTGGTATTAAAAATAATCAGGTAATATAGGACTTAAGTGAACTAAGAAACATTGGAGGAATTAAGGTTGATTTAATCAATTTCTATGTATTTTATGAGTAGTTATAAATATAATGATTTGACATGATAATTTTTTTTCATCTGTTAAAATCATTTAAATACTGTCTGAAATTCAGTGACACATAATTTCATTTTATGTTTGATGTTTATCAGCAGTCCAATATCTTTTTTCCAAAACTGTTAACAATAATATATACATTGTTAAAAGTTAAAGTCACATCTCCAAAAATCACTTCAATTTTACAAACCGTGAGAGACTGATGAAGGTTTTTCTGATTCAAATGACATTATTATATTGTTTCAGAGGTTCCTACCCACCCATACCACCAAAGTATAGCTATGATCTGCGGGGGCTGATAGCCAAGCTCTTTAAGAGAACTCCCAGGTACGTATTCTACATAAAAAATATTGGAACTGTTTAAGATACGTGTAGAGAAAGGCATTCATTGGTTAGATTTTACATGGAATAATAGTATCCCTTTGTTGGTAAGAAATGATAAAATTTGTGCTGTTTTTTAACAGAATATGATACATAACAAATATTTATTTTACAAGGTAAAAGGTTATTTAAATCACCTTGTTGATCCATATTTAGGATGTGGAAGACTATTGTGTTACCACAGAACCGTTTAGCCACATTATCGATCACCAATTACACATGAATTATTTTTATGTAAATTTTTATCAATGTATGGATATTTTGTTTCAAGGGACAGACCTTCAATCAACTCTATATTGAAAACAAACTTTATAATGAAAAGAGTGACCAAGTTTCTCTCAGAAGATGTAAGTATTCAATTTTTTTCACACACTTATCCTCTATCCAATAATGTAAGCATTTGTTTAATATTGAAAATAGAGGGATTTACCAGGGTGTGCGCTTATCACTATGATATACAGTAAACATATGCTTGGATGTTAGATACAGGTGCCCTTTAGAAATCGTATTGTCTTTGCCTCTGTCCCTCTTGTTGACATTTTCATAACTAGAGATTTTCTGAGAATCCAGAATGCCTGTTTTCTTCAATTTTACATGGTGATACAATAGGACATATGTACAGTAGGATGTTCAGGATTCACAAGGTCAGAAGTCAAGGTCAAAGTTTGGTTCATGATATTGTAACACTAGTGTCAAGCTCAGAAAAACAGTAAGGCTCTTTCTGACGAGTCAGGGTTTTTACTGAATGTTGAGTATTTGAATGGTTGCATTTCTTTCCGTAATTTTTAGTCTATTAATAGTTCATTCACGTTTCTATGGTTAGAGATCTAGAGCTCACGATTATTCTCCCTCTTTGTAGACAACATCTATCTCATAGTGTTGTATTTACCATTGTCCGTTCATTGTCATTGTCCTGATCCGCCGTTAATGTTTAATTCACTCTCAGGAATTACAAGATGAGTTTAGTCATACAGTGATGCATGGTAAAAAGTTAGCCAGGAAGTTACCTCCCCCTCCTCCCTCCTCAAGACCCCCTTCAGGTGAGTGAAAGAAGATAAAGGCAAGAAATTGTGACACCTTAAAAAATACTCATATTGAAATAAACACATTAATTAGTTTTATACATGTTTGTAGACAAGTTAGAACATTTTCTTCAGATTGATTATAGCAATAGTATAAAAGTTCTTATAACACAACCAGTAGAAGATTAGAGTGTGATGTTTCGACGACTACACAGTCACCTTCATCAGACGAATGAATGTGAAGCAAGTAGCACTGATGTATGTAGTGCACACAGTGTGTCTCATCACACTATTTTTTACCTTAGCGTACATGGGATTATAGTACAGCTGAAAAAGTTGATCAATTCCTTACCATCACGTACACACCACACTGGTCGTTTGTCTTGTGAAAGTGTAATCATCGTAACATCACATTCAAATTTTCAATTGGTTGTGTTATGAGAACATCTATCTAGATAAGTATTTTGTTTTTGAAGTTTGTCATTTCAGTTCAATGACAAATTTCAAAATGCAATTCAAAATAACACTAAAAAGGTATTTCAGAAACATGCACACGTAAATTTTAGGGTCAGATTTTATCTCAGATTATTATGGTGTTACACATTGATCAAGATTTTAGAGTTTGAATTTAATTATGTTCTTAAAAGTCTTGATATGAGTCTTTTGTTTGATGTCCAGCTGCTGGTGTGAGGAAGGCAGTGGGTCAGACTCCAGCAGCTCGTTACAATCCAGCCAGTGTGTACGGGGCTCCAGTTGGAGGTCCTAGGAAGTCCAAGGAAAACAGGTGAGTCATGCTTTTGCATCATCTCGTGTAACATTAAACAAATAAACCAGAAGACAGTTTTTGTAAAAATTTAGATTTGAAAAAGAAAAAGAAAATTTGAGTGCTTAGATTGTTTTGATAAGAAATCACTCCAATATCTTAAACCTTAGTTCTTCTTGTGCTTGACAAAACAGTATTATGCAAATGAAAATGTTTTCATTTTAAGAAATAAGTGCTATAAAGCTAGATGAAATGAAGAAATTTCTTACATTGTGTTACACTAGGGGGTCTGTGGATGTGAAGAAACGTCCAGGCAGTGCAGGTAGTGCAGGTCGTCCTGGCAGTGCTGGAGGACGTCCAGGCAGTGCCAGCCAGGTGAGGGGATACCCTGGGGATAAAGGCTATTTAGTACGTTCCAGTATAGGGATTTCATTCAGGCTAATCCCTAACAGATCTTATAAACCTTGTCTAACAGAGATTGTTTTTTCTCATGTTTATCATTCTGACATGCTTTTTATTAAAATTTTATAAAACTTTAATGGGTTTTTTTTTTTTGCATTGCTCTAACAGCAAATTTTTTTCACTTTAAGAATTAAATGTGCTTTATACTTGCCTTATTTTTTAGTTCCATTATTAAATTCAAATTTCTGAGATTTTTTTAAACTTCCATGAAAGACAATAATTTTTATACAAAGACAAAATCACTATCATGCTTAACTATTAAATGTCAAGTCAAAAGGGCATGAAATCACATCAAAATGCTACTAAATAAAAACTATTGGAACATGTTCCATGCTACAAATTTACAAATCTGCTTGAAATAATATGCTGTTTTGATTTGGATGAAAACTGTTTGTCTGTATCTTCCCCCTTTTTTTGTTGTTTTTGAGGATTTGAAAAAGAAAAAAGAAGACTTAATTTTAAAAGAGAAGAAAAGGAGAATGGAAGAAAACAAGGTAGATTTTACTTCTGAAATAATTTATCAATGACATGTTACATCTACTTGATAAATGATTAAGTTTATGATAAATTTCAATGAATTTATGATTTGTTTGTGAATTTTTATGAATTTTTTATTTTTTATGAATTTTTATGAATTTCTATGAATTTATTGGGGATTTTTTTTTTTTAAATTTTAAATTATGAATTTTTGTTTTATATGAATTTTTTATATTTTTTATGAATTTTTATGAATTAACAGAAAGTATTTTCATTTTTTACTCAAACATTTCTTAGCGTAAAACAAACTGGACATACATAAATGTACAACTAGGTTGCTCTACATTTCTGTTCTACCTCCCATTGGTGTTTAGACAGGTTCTCATTATCAGTCCCCCAATAGTATTTATGGTAAGAAACTCCTGTTTTTCACTGTCAGTTCTCCTGAGACTGGCATATTGAAATTTATTGAAATTTAGTCTTATGTCTGAATTCAATTGATTTGATTGTGTTATCCTGTATATGGAAAAAGTGGGTTAACTGTACTTTAAACCTAATGTTATAGGCATACCAGGTAAATTTGAAATATTAAAACAAGCTTTAAAAGTCTTAGTTAAGATTTGTCAGAAAGTACAATAAGATCTGTAGATCCATCATTATTTCATTAAAGAACGACCCTTATCCAACTGGTAAATGAAAATAGACTGTTGCTTTAGAGCTGAAAGACTATATGGATGGCTTGAAAAAACATCTGTTTTGAAATAACTTGAAATGTGTTTACTCTTAAAGGCCGCTGCTGAGAAAAAGCACAAAGAATTATTGGAGAAACAAAAGGTAGGCAATAAAATTATGATATCTTGCCTTTTTAATTCGCCATATGATAGTTGAAATAATTTTGTAATGTGAATGTGTTTTTTAAATACCTGGTAAGCTTTTTGTGTCCTTATACTTCACCATAGTGAGCTTAATTTTTATCTTATTTCTTCCATATTCAAGTATTGTTCTAAACTGCCATATATCTTGTTATTGTGTTGATTATTTTTACAGGGTTTTACAGAATGTATTGTCCCGTTTATTTTTAAATCTTGATTTTGCATAATATTTGCAACTTCACTTTTTTCAATAATTGACAACTGTGAATTTTGCGGGAAAAAATTAATCTGGTTCTGAAGTTTAACAGTGTGGATGTAATTGTATTTGTTACAATTTCTTTGTATTGTATTCTGTAAGACAATACATACATCATCTCTCAGTCAGTCAGAGTTTTGGCCTACATACATGATACATGGCTTGATATTTCCTAGCCATGGCGTGAGGTGTTTTTCAGGAACATGAGATACAGACCGGTATGAGTTAATGTGGTTGTGATTTACGAAGAAACCCTGCTTCAAAATGACCTTGGCTATTAACTGGGCAATAAACCAATTGAAAGCAAATGTAACCAGTATAATGTATGGCAGCTTTAGTGATTCTTTGATGCTTTAAACAAGGGCCTGTAGATAACCTAGAAAACTATCTATATATCTGTTTGCAACAACCCTTGAGTAGAATAATGGGATCCTTTGTTGTTGACCTTTGTTTATAGATGGCGAGAATCAACAAGGCAAGGGAAGACAACTGGAAGAATATGATTAATTCTTTAGATTCCGATGAGGGAGCTGTAAGTTAAATAGCATGTCATTCATTTTCTTTAAAAATTTTCTTACAGAGTTCTTTACTTGAAAAATTAGAATACATCGAATTTGAAATCTCATGAATGGAAGATAATAAAGTGATTGTTCTGCTGATTTTCAACAATGTTTCATAATCATAGATTGGGGGGAAAATTAATTAATTTTGCCAGTGTGTTAAAAACGATTTTAAGTTTATGCTGTAAAATATTTTGAGTTTCACTGATTTTGAAATTAACTATTTAACAATAATACAAGCCAATTTGATTGAAGTCGGTCAGGATGATAACTATATATCTATAATTTGATGATTTGATTGGATTCAGCAAAATAAAACATTGTTTGGTTATTTCAATATCATGATTTCAAGGAAAAGGATATCTTTAAATCAAATTAGAATAAGTTTTAGACAGTTAACAATATTACATATTCCGATTTGTTTCCTTTTTAACTTGAGATGTCATAGAGGTACATTTTGTTAACATTTCTTTGACTTCAGAAGAAAGTTAACTGTGATAAACATGATGCCAGAGAACCACCAAGACAGTCACGACCACTGGTAGGTAAAACTCTCGTCACATGTCGCCTTAGTCTTGTAACTTTTATTTAAAGATAATGAAAACTTGACAGAAAGATCATGTAACTTTTGAACTCTAAAGTCTTCCACTGATGAAGAATCTGCTATTTGATATTGAATCTTACAGATTGTACTTGATATACAGCTAAACAGTATTCATAATGCTTCTTACACTGGAATAAACAGCTGGCTTAGGATCTAACTTTGATTTGTGTTTTTCATGAGCCAGCAGATATTGATTTCTCATTTTCTTAGGCAATATTGTCTTCTTTACAGCCTGATCCTCCACAGAATATCGCTCAGAAAGATCGAGGGAACTATGAACGCTATCATGCCTACCTAGATAAGATACAGAAAAACAGAGACGCCCAACTAAATAACATAAGACCAGGTAAGTTGTTAAACCTTTTACTGTAAGACTCAAGTTAATTGGTTTCTTCAAATAAGTCTTAATATTTCTTTAATGGGGATGTGTAAAGTTTGATTTGGTGTTTCAGTGCAGCCAGCAGCAGCATACATGGTAGCCCCAAGGCCTCTACCAGGAGGACCTAAACAGTCCGTGCCCCACTGGCAGCGGCCAAGCTCTGGCCGCACCCCAGAGCCAACACCCATATGTCCTGACCCCAGGGCAGGTGGTGACAGGTAATGTTCCTGTATCTAGCCCACTTATCATAATAAATCTTTATGTCTTTTGTAAATACTCTGATGGATTTAGTCTAAATATTTACTCTTTTGAAGATTTTGTCTGAAAGGATATGTTTGGATGGATTAGGACTGGAAGGTGATTTGTCAGTGTGAGAGTAGAATGTGAATTCATCAAGATTGAGTTTAATATGTATTGTGCCTAATCAAATTCTTCTGACATCTGTAAATTGAATATTTTTAGAGACAAAGACAGAAAATGTTCACAATTCTCATTTAACTGACTGTATTTCTGTGTTCTTTTTCCCTAGACCAAAAACACCGGCAGAGGAGAGGGCGCGAATAGTCGACGAGTTTGTGATGAGAAAGAGGGAAGCTGCTCTAAACAGACAACGAGGAAATGCAGACTTATTCGGGGTAATTTGATACATACACACTTCTTTTCTTTCATATTTACCCCAAAAATATGTATATTTATTAGATATTTTTGGATCTTAAATATATATGTTGTTGTGTATTAGATCCCTGATAATTTCTTTACTTGTGAAGTGATATATGTAGGCATCAGATATATAAGTATTAGTCGTTGTTTAGGTATATATGAGACTGCCTTTAACAGTGCTTATTGAAGTCTTTAATCTACTTCACTCTGCTTCAGATTCTCTCTTTTTTTAAGAAGTGATACTTTTGGACATATTCATAAACTAACTCGGATGTCAATTTGATAAATACAGAAATCAACCTTTCAGACTTTTTTGCCACCATCAATTTATGGGAATTAGGTATATGGTTGTGGAAGGCAATGGGAAAGGGATAGTAATGTTACACATTTCGGCCTGTACTGTTTTGTTTCACATCAGTGTCATATCTTGAGAACCTCTCAACAGATTAGATAAATTTTTACCCCATAGTATCATAATATTAATTTCTAACCTGATCAAGTTCTTGATTCTGGTTTGCATATGATCAGGGACATTCCTATCTTGTAGACATTTTCTATTTTCCAAGAACATTTATTATAACATTTCATGAAGTCCACATTATGTACTAAAATCTTTCACTCATCCATGCCTATTAGAATGCTGCTCCAGCTGCTGCGCCTGCTGCTGCCCCGCCCTATGCTGTCCAGCGACCACGCCAGCCTCCCACACCAGCTAGACATGAGCCAAGTGATGGGGCTCTTGACAGTGCCAGAGATAAGGAGGAAAAGGTGTCTACATACTGTAACCTCATCGCCACATAACTCGTATTGTCTAGATAAGATCTTGACTAAGTCTTTGAATCCATCAATTGAGCAAAACTAATTGAGAATAAAACTGACATGTTTACTTCAATTATTTGCAGTATTTATTTTGTTGGTAATATTTTTAGAAGATTTATGGAATAGTGTCATTGAAGTCATTACATTGTTACACAGAGAAGAGATTAGCGGTACTGTGAATTAGTATATACTTTAGTCATGATTTCCTGAAAACAAGATTTAGTCAAATTTACATTGTAGAAATAATCCTCATCATAATCAAAGTCATAAATAGTTTTCTCATTAATTTACTTGCAGATCTATCTAAAGTTCTTAGCACTCTGAGACAGAATCATTTACATGTTGATCAAGTTAACTAACGAGGTGTTATCTTCCTTATCTATCAGGAATACTTAGAGAAACTTAAACAGATAAGGATGCAGAACTTCCAGGATAGACGGCAGATACAGAACAAGCCCCAGGTAAGTATTATGTATAAATTATTTCTACCTCAGTCACCTTTAAATGTTTGATTGATTCTGAAGGTCATATGTAATTCATAATTCTGTAAGAACTCTGACTGTTTGTTTGCAATTTAATTAAACTGAAATTGATGGCAATTCTTTTCAAATGTACATCATTGAATTTGTTAACATAATTTCATATCTTGGTACATGTCGTAAACATCTAATAGTTCTTGTGTATGTATATATTGTTTTAGTCTGAAATTCATTGGTGACCTAGTTGTTTAGAATCATTTTTTTTTAACTTCAAGAAACTCAAGTGAAAATCTTAACAGGATACTTGATAATATTTTCAAGGCTATTATTTCACTATTTCAGTTGGGCACATTCATGGGTATTAAGTTTCACACATGTCTATACATTGGTATCCAAATTACATCCAGGGATGATAACATTCATTTTTCAAGATTTTGATTCAAAGTAAAAATGTTTGCTGGATATTTAATTTCTTGCTGTCAACAATTACGAATATTACCAACAATACAGTAAGGGAATCGAAAATTACCTAAATTTCTTTTTCATAAATTGTTTGTTTTTTCTTTATTTATGCCTGATGGTACTTATAACATATTCAGTATATTTTGAAAACAGATGTTACATCACAAGTCATGTGTGAGAGATTTTATACACCAAGGAAATTGTTAAGAACTTTGTTTTGGTTATGTTAAGGATGCTAAAGCAGAAGCAGAAGCTAGGAGGAAGAAGGTTGAGGCTCTCCGAGTAAGTTTGGAACATGTAAATCTTTAAAGTAGATATAAGGAACAAAATTATTTCAGATATAAAATTTAGTTTTAGTGTAACTATTTAGGCCCAGAGGTATAAAATGACACAGCATATTATCTGAATTACAGAGATTAGACCTCATGTAAAGGTCAAGGTCACAGCTAACAGTTGTTTGGTTGGTCTTGTACAACATCACTGTATAGTTCCTATTTATTTTTATAAATTGTTCTACAAAGAATTCAATTTTTATTATCATTATGATACCCTGCAGTTTTATTGCAGGGAGCAAGGTGATGAGATAGAATGATATGTGTTCCACCTTGTTCCATCACATCCTGTCACATCCCATTACAAACCAATGTTATATTTTTAGAACCTCTCAACAGATTTGTTCCATATTTATCCCTTAGTATAACAACATATATCACTGTATTAAAGGCAGCATTTTGATTATAACCAATATATCATACAATAGAGAGTAGCCATTAGATAGAAACATTCTTAATCTGTCTTGTTTTAAATGTGATGTTCCAATTTATATCATATTGAAATTTCTAATTCTAAAAAAATCTTTCCATTAACTTTCAGTATGCTAAGGTCAGTCTAAAACCACTTTTTAGTAAAATTGTTGTCAGTGATCACTTCTGATTGTGTTTCTTATTTCTTATACCTGACATTTACCTGTATCACAAGTGTTACACAGATAGATAACTGTATCCTACATAGGTGTACCCAGCCTTTGGTATCATTTAGCACTTTAGGGTCACAGGTCGACACAGATAGATGATAACTGTATCCTACATAGGTGTACCCTGTCTTTGGTATCATATAGCACCCAAGGGTCACAGGTCGACACAGATAGATGATACCTGTATCCTACATAGGTTACCCAGTCTTTGGTATCATATAGCACTTCAGGGTCACAGGTCGACACAGATAGATAACTGTATCCTACATAGGTTACCCAGTCTTTGGTATCATATAGCACTTTAGGGTCACAGGTCGACACAGATAGACGAGAACTGTATCCTACATAGGTTACCCAGTCTTTGGTATCATATAGCACTTCAGGGTCACAGGTCAACACAGATAGATAACTGTATCCTACATAGGTGTACCCAGCCTTTGGTATCATATAGCACTTTAGGGTCACAGGTCGACACAGATAGATAACTGTATCCTACATAGGTGTACTCAGCCTTTGGTGTCATATAGCACTTTAGGGTCACAGGTCGACACAGATAGATGAGAATTCTATTTCACATAGGTGTACCCAGTCTTTGGTATCATATAGCACCCAAAGGTCACAGGTCGACACAGATAGATGAGAATTCTATTTCACATAGGTGTACCCAGTCTTTGGTATCTTTTAGCACCCAAGGGTCACAGATCGACACAGATAGGTGAGAATTCTATTTCACATAGGTGTACCCAGTCTTTGGTATCATATAGCACCCAAGGGTCACAGGTCGACACAGATAGATGAGAATTCTATTTCACATAGGTGTACCCAGTCTTTGGTATCATATAGCACCCAAGGGTCACAGGTCGACACAGACAGACAAGAACTGTATCGTAGGTGTACCCAGATTTTGGTATTATATAAAACTTTTTTCCTAAATTACAACTTAGGAGTGTTTTTCTACCCAAATATCTGTTTTCACTATGTTTAGCAAAATATTATTTGATGCATAATTTCAGTGTGATATGTGATACATTTGAACGACCAAACAATATCAGTTCAGTTATCATCTATCATGGCTTCATGGCATTAAACAATTAAGGAACAATCTTTTTGACTTTTGAGCATTAATTTTTGTAAAGTTTATCTTTGGTATACCATATTTTTTCTCAGCTTTTTACAAATTTGTTTCCAAAGTTGAATATTTGCCTCTAAATTAAAACCTCCCTTATCCGACCCTTTAACATTTCAGATTTCAACAGTCTTTAATCCCACACCTAAAGAAACTATCAAATAAAATACTCTAATTCCACACCATGTAGAAGTTTGTTGATATTATTGTCTACAGTAGGGTGTTGGTGTTCTCTAGATAAGAAGTTTATGAAATCCAATAGATTAAGAAGTTTATCGACCTCCATGTTTGTATTTACCGATACAGTTACATCTTGATTATGCTTGGACAGGATTATGTGGTTTTTCACTTCTTCACTTGTGTAAATGAGCAATGTCTGTTAACATAGCTGAAGTTGATATAAAGGGAAAGAGACATGCATATTTCATTGAGATCAAATATTAAATATTTCTGTACAAAAAAAGTGACAAAAAAATCAAATGAATTGAACTATTTTGTTGCTGTTCACATGGTCAGTGACTCCTAACGAGTGCAAAAATGTGAAAATCTTAAGTTATCACTGAATGTACATATAAGGATTTTTATCTATTTTCTATTCTTGTTTTGATATTGTAGTTACATTGTGGTAACTATATATTTTACTTCATGTGCTTATATACACCAAGCGATATGTACTTACCCCAATGTATATTTTAAAAAAAAATCCTTGCATAGCTTTTCCACAGATTATACAGGTTATCTAGTTATACAGATTATTGTGTTGTACAAGGTGTTGGTTTAGGCAGGGTAACATTTTAGACACTGAGTGTCAGAATAAAGATGTTTAACTGTTAGTATGTTCTAATTTCTTTATCAAAAAGTCATTAATTTGTAGATATGGTTTTTATTGCACCAATGCAGGTTTTTAATTTTTTGTCCACAATTACCATATATGGTTAAAATCATCTAAATGAATGTTTGGTGTAATCATAACAGAAGCTTATTGTTTAATCAGATTGAGAATTGTTATAACATTGTTGGTATTATAGTACCATCTTTTCTAAAGTAGACATTTTACATCAAGAGGTTTCCACTTTCAAAGATTTAGTGTGAATATTATAAACAGTCCTCATGTAAATTCCAGCAACAAGCAGATGATAGGGCCAAACAGCTTAAGGAACAATTAGAGCGACAGCGTAAGGATAAATATGACCAGGCTAGACAGAAAGCGTCACGGCCAGTACCTGCCCCACGTCCAGTGATCAACCCAGCGCCTGCTGTAGCGATGACCGCTGCTCTGAAGGCTGTCGGGGTCGAGCCAAAGGAACTGCCCAAACCTGTGCAGACACCAGCTGTAGGAATGACTGGTGCCCTGAAGGCCATAGGAGTGGTGAATGATGAACCCCCACCAGTAGATTCCAAGTATGAGCTTTAAGAAAGGGGAGATAAATGGATATTCTGATAAATTAGGTCACTGAAATGATGAATATAAAGTACAAACTGTAAACGCTAAGTAAGGACAATAAGGAAGGGAGTTTGATGGATATAAAAATAGTTAAGGCCATTTCCAACTATTCCCTGATAATGATCAATAGTGGAAAGGATTTACTTTAGATAAAAAATTTCTTAAGAAAGCTAGTGTTATGTTTACTTTTGAATTGATCAATTTAGGTGCCATTAAAGAGACATTTACATCAACTTATTTTTATCTGTTGTGTTAAGGAGTCCCCTGAAGCAACAAAAGGAAGAAATTCTTCGTCGTTTAAACGAGAAGGTAAGTAAAATCTTAGGCTAGTTATAGAAGGCGAAACTTTCATGTCAAGGCTTTGGGTATCAGATCTTGTGTTAGAAAGACAGATAGTGTTTCAGTAAGTCAGTTCATCAGATCTTGTGTTAGAAAGACAGATAGTGTTTCAGTAAGTCAGTTCATCAGATCTTGTGTTAGAAAGACAGATAGTGTTTCAGTAAGTCAGTTCATCAGATCTTGTGTTAGAAAGACAGATAGTGTTTCAGTAAGTCAGTTCATCAGATCTTGTGTTAGAAAGACAGATAGTGTTTCAGTAAGTCAGTTCATCAGATCTTGTGTTAGAAAGACAGATAGTGTTTCAGTAAGTCAATTCATCAGATCTTGTGTTAGAAAGACCAATAGTGTTTCAGTAAGACAAACTATCAGATCTTGTGTTAGAAAGACAGATAGTGTTTCAGTACATCAGTTCATCAGATCTTGTGTTAGAAAGACAGATAGTGTTTCAGTAAGTTAATTCATCAGATCTTGTTTCTGAATTTTGCATTTTCATTTACCGTACACCAACAAACTAGCATTTAAGTATGTAATAAGAAATCTCAGTAACTATGATGGTACAGATTTATTTTAAAGTTTTTGTTTACTGAGAGTAGTTGTAAGAACGGTTTTATGATAAGTAGTACAGGGTGGTATTTTTCCCCATTAATAGGTAACCCCACGGGGTAAATGGGGAGCCCCAGCAGAGATTGCTGTGGAGGAAGAGGTACAAAATCCTCCCGAGTCTTCTCGGTCCCGATGGAAAGAAGGGCCAAGTGATCAAGTGTCGATTAAGGAAATGCCTCTGGAACAGACAGCCTCACAAATGGAAGGTACAGACATAATCAGGATGTCCAGGGAGAATATGGGAACTCCTACTTCCTCTGTTTCCACACATATAATCATATCCAATAATTTGGCCTTTCCTTATTTAACAATAAATTCTGGAGATTAATTAGGAACATTTTAGTGGCAATTCAACTAATGGGAGAGCTCCAGATTTGTAAAGTATGGACCTACAAGAACATTGATTAGTTCAACATTGCTCTTCAACAAAATTTGTGTTAATTTTTCAACAAAAATGCAGACATTCTGTAACTTGTTTGCTGTGTTAATTGCTGTATCAGCAGATATGTATTTTATGTGGTGATGTTCTAACCTTCGATATACCACCATTTTCCATTCTATATAAGGTATGTTTAACCATCAAAGTTTAATATCTTGGTTGTCTGGTTATACTGGAGCAAACTTGATGGAATTAACATTTAGATTTGTGCTTACTGTTAATCACAATTTCCAGCAACAAGTATACAGGACAAAGTCATACAGCATCCAGCTGCGGAGGCTGATGTGGCAGCTGATGTAGCAGCTGCTGTTTCTAGGCAGCAGTGGGGTCGTCCGGGCAGCACTGTGTTGAACGCTTTGAAGGAGATCCCAATAAAGGAAGGCACTATGGACAGTAATAAATCAGGTATATACCAGATATCTACAAGAAACACAGGTTTATTTTTCTTCTCTGTAGCTGAAATAAAGTTATTACATCACTAAATCTTCTGAGTTTCTTTCAATAACAACCCAAAATTGTTTTTTTTATCTGAAATCTTGAAGCATGCTTATGACTTTGATAGCTTTTTCTGTTCTAATGTCTCATTATATCATGGCGATATCTACTTGCAACAATTAATTTATTTTGAAAATATTGTGTGATGAAATCAGATATGTTATAAGTATTTTTCTTGACTTTTATCTGTAAATGATTTAATCTCATAAAATCAAATTGAACTCATAAGTGTGATGTAAAAGACCTGTACTCTCACTACTGTAATGTCTTATAACCTTGTCTGTTTCTAACGAGAATCCTTTATATCAGATGATAGTGTCCCCTCGTCTACAGAAGGGGACAGTACACCTGCCAAGGGGTCCACTATCACACTTACACCTAAACCTGTCATCAACAAAGGCACTATTACTATAGGAGCTGCTGATGAGGCCAAACAAAGCAAAGGTAAGGGACTGTACATCTGTTATATAGGTGGCTGTCATCAGTCCAGATACATCATGTTCAGTAGTGTATTCATTTTCTTTTATCTTTTTATTTTTATTTCTGTTTCTGAACATTTAACATGGTCTTGAGGATAAATTCTCATTAAATGACATTTGGAATACTAACTACTTGTTTTGAGACAATTTACAAGTCTTAGTGAAGAATTTTAAGAATATGTAACTTTGATGTAGCATTATCTCCTGAAATATATTTCTGTAGTCAATCAATTATCTGTTTCTCTTGTTTTATTGTCTAGATCCTGTCACTGCTTTAAAAATTGATGTTGTTTGCATGCTTCACAATTCAATCAAATTCAATATACTAGCATTTTCATTTCAAATCAATATTTATTTACTTTCAATTAATTTTTTTATTTTATCAAATCTTTTAAGTTAAATCAGCAATTGCACTGTCTGCATGCACCTTTGACTTTGTACAGAGAAATTTCTCAAGAGACCAGACATATCACAGCCAATATCTGAGGAATCCAACGTTTCACAGAATAAAGATTCCAATTCCACACCAGCTAGGGTGGAGGTTTCATCATCGGCTAAACCTCCCCTCCCCAACAAACCAGACTTGCATTCAAAGTTTGTGGCCACTCCAAAACCACAGCAGGACATCTTACCCACACCAGTGATTCTAGCAAAGCCTGACACGCCCATGAACTTTGGTGGGTGGTCAGGAAAGCTTCAGTCTTTGATTTTTCCATTAAGTTTGTTTGATATGTTCTGGAAATTACTTCTTGTTTTTTACATATTTCTGTAGTTCTTTTATTTCACAATTCAGTATCTTTTTGATCTGGTAATATGTCTGTTTGTTTACATTTCAAAAGTTTCTTAAACTCCCTCAGAATGTTTTTTCTTTACTTCAAATTTTGAAACATGTCCTTATGATGGACATCTTTTCTAACTTCTGTGCTTTTGATGTTTGTCATACTGTTGGTTTATTTTTTTCACCTTTGACTCACCTTGACCTTTGACTTACAGGTCAGACTGACCAGATACCCAAGGCAGTTGACCTGTCTAGTGAGGGAAAACTGTTTGAGAAGGCTGAAGAAAAGAGTGGGGCAAAAGAGGTTCCAAAGCAAGAAAATTTAGAGGCCAAGGGTCAAAGCAATTTATCACCAAGGTAAATCTTGTTTAGTATAATAGTTGTGTAGGATTGGTTGTTGAACTCTTTGTAAGATGAAGGAAAAGTTCATTTGTATTTTCAAAAATCAGCTATAACAGAAATTTGAAAGGAAATAGTTGAGTATTTTGCTCGCCACAAATCTGTTTCTGTTACTGAAGACATTCGCACGTGTCAGAATATAAGTGGATTTTGTTGAATTGACCTCATTACTTTAGTGACTTAATTTTGAAGGTCAGTTTAATATGACAATACCTCACACAAGTTTGCGGTTCAGGATTCCAAGGTCAATGTCATTGTTACTATTTTTAGAAATTTTTCAGACAATGATACTTATTTGCATGAGAGCAGGTGCATTCATGTGTTAAACACTTTTCTAGTCTTTCAGTGATGATTAGAAGAACTGTGTAATATATAGCCACTTTTAATATAACTAAGAGAAGACAGGTTAGAGAACGTGCTTTATATTGACAGGATCAGGTCACTTTAATTCCTCCAGGTTTACACAAAGAAACAACACCTGTATGTGCTTGATGATGTGACACATGTAATTTAAATGTGCGTTCTCATTACAGTGAGAAGAGAAGCTCAGGTGTGATACTTGGTCTTACAAGTGGACAGTTTGACATAGGAAATGCACATGTAAGATTACATTGATTATCACATAAAGTTTATTGTAGGCATTTTTAGTGACTCACAACATCATTGAGTTATAATCAGATAAGATATAAAAGTAACAAGGTACTAATAACTTATATATATCACAGTGGAAGGTCACAGATAAAAATGATGAGATATAAATGATTATGAATGTTCAGTGCATATATTCAAACTGGAGTCATTTTGTTAAGTCAACATAAGGCTATCACAGTTGTGAATTAGTTAAGTGTTCATCTTTGAAAGTACTTGTTATATCTTAAGAAACTTGAACAATTCTATCCATGTTTCTCCCCACAACAGATATTTTCACTTCAACAATATGTGTTTTTTTCATGTAATTTTTATAAATTTTTGTTTGTCATTGATCCAAAAAATTCTACTTTGGTTCGCTACATGACATTTAAGTTGTCTGATGAATACTTGTGCAAAGAATTGTAAAAGTTTTAGTTTCTGTTAGATATTACTGTATGAATTATGTATATGCACAATTAAAAACAAGGAAAACAATGCATAACAATCATAGTATGTGACTTACTTTTATACTTTTAGTTAATAATTCTTTTCATGAAACTTTCCAGAAATTATTTAAATTTTGTTTTGCGATATTATATTATTAGATGTTACGCACCTGCTCTGAGCCAGATTTGGCAAAGCTGTTCAAGACATTGGAACAATCATCACAGAACACTGATAATCCCCAAAGGGTCAGTCTGGACCTGGAGAAACAAAGAGAACAGGTACCCTCAAGTTGTCTCCCTTTGTCACAATTTTTTTCATTTACTTGTCCATGTTGAGATTGTGCAAAACGGTACTAGTTAAACTTCCACTCTAAAATGTGTGAAAATGCACATATCATGCATAGTACATAACTATTACTGATGTTTGTAAGTAAAATTAAATTTAAAATTAGGAGATAATCTTTGAAAACTGTGAAATGTATGCATAAGTCAAAAAGTCATATTTGTTGTGGTTGATCTTGTTTAGGTATTTTTTTCATCTTAACATAATAAAAACAACTTTAACATAATTAATTGATAGGTTGATCCACAAGTTGGCCTTTTGGACAATGTAGAGCTGGACTTAGAAGAAGAAGACATCAACATTGTGTAAGATTATATAAATTGATTTAACTTTGAAATATTGATATTTATCTTGAACTAAGACCAGAGGTGATCTCATTACCACAGATTTTATGTGGTCAGTAAATTGCCACAGATTTTAAGTGGTCAACACATTGCCACAGATTTTATGTGGTCAGTAAATTGCCACAGACTTTAAGCAGTCAACAAATTGCAACAGATTTTATGTGGTCAACGCATTGCCACAGATTTTAAGTGGTCAACACATTGCCACAGATTTTATGTGGTCAACAAATTGCCACAGATTTTATGTGGTCAGTAAATTGCCACAGACTTTAAGCAGTCAACAAATGGCAACAGATTTTATGTGGTCAACGCATTGCCACAGATTTTATGTGGTCAACGCATTGCCACAGATTTTATTTGGTCAACACATTGCGACAGATTTTAAGAGGTCAACACATTGTGACAGATTTCAACAGGTCAACACATTGTGACAGATTTTAACAGGTCAACACATGAATTTAAGAGATAAAAAAATACCCATTTGTGTAACTGTAACATTTTACCTGCAGGAGAAGCTGAATATAATTCTTTAAATTCAATACATTGAGTGTTTTAATATGATACAATTGTTACAAAATGTAAATATATTTGCTGAGCAACATTGTGTAATTTTTTATTTCACTTGAATTTCAATCTGGCTGTGCAGTATAACAATTTATCAACATAATTTACTTACCAGACTGAAGAAAATATTTTATTATTCTGGTTTTTTTTTATATTTGGGCAGAGATGATGATGAATACGAGGAACTACTCAGTGTAAGAGAGACAATGCAGAGTCTACTTATACGAGAGTACAGCACTGATGAAGAATCACAACACAGCACCAGCCATCTTAGTGTGGCCAGCAACATCGAAGATAAGATCGATGAGGAAGAGGACATGGCAGAGGTAAAGGAAGATGACAAGGAGGCAGCACATGTCAGTGATGATAGTGATAACGAGGATGCTGAGGAGTACCAGCGAAAGTTAGCAGAGAAACTGAGGGACAGAGAACAAGAGGATGATAATGATGTGGAAAACCAAGAGGAAAATGCTGAGGAAGAGGAAAATACAGAAGAGGTCGAAGATCAGGATGATGAGGAACTATTAGATGACAAATCAGATCTGTTTCAGTCAGGTAGGTGGAGTGGAATTGTCAAATTAGATCTGTTTTAGTCAGGTAGGTGGTGTGGAATTGTTAAATTAGATCTGTTTTAGTCAGGTAGGTGGAGTGGAATTGTCAAATTAGATCTGTTTTAGTCAGGTAGGTGGTGTGGAATTGTTAAATTAGATCTGTTTCAGTCAGGTAGGTGGAGTGGAATTGTCAAATTAGATCTGTTTCAGTCTGGAAGGTGGTGTGGAATTGTTAAATTAGATCTGTTTTAGTCAGGTAGGTGTGTGGAATTGTCAAATTAGATCTGTTTCAGTCTGGAAGGTGGTGTGGAATTGTTAAATTAGATCTGTTTTAGTCAGGTAGGTGTGTGGAATTGTTAAATTAGATCTGTTTCAGTCAGGTAGGTGGAGTGGAATTGTTAAATTAGATCTGTTTTAGTCAGGTAGGTGGTGTGGAATTGTTAAATTAGATCTGTTTCAGTCAGGTAGGTGGAGTGGAATTGTCAAATTAGATCTGTTTTAGTCTGGAAGGGGGTGTGTAATTGTCAAATTAAATCTGTTTTAGTCAGGTAGGTGGTGTGGAATTGTCAACTTAGATCTGTTTTAGTCAGGTAGGTGGTGTGGAATTGTCAAATTAGATCTGTTTTAGTCAGGTAGGTGGAGTGGAATTGTCAAATTAAATCTGTTTTAGTCAGGTAGGTGGTGTGGAATTGTTAAATTAGATCTGTTTTAGTCAGGTAGGTGGAGTGGAATTGTCAAATTAGATCTGTTTTAGTCAGGTAGGTGGTGTGGAATTGTTAAATTAGATCTGTTTCAGTCAGGTAGGTGGAGTGGAATTGTCAAATTAGATCTGTTTCAGTCTGGAAGGTGGTGTGGAATTGTTAAATTAGATCTGTTTTAGTCAGGTAGGTGTGTGGAATTGTCAAATTAGATCTGTTTCAGTCTGGAAGGTGGTGTGGAATTGTTAAATTAGATCTGTTTTAGTCAGGTAGGTGTGTGGAATTGTTAAATTAGATCTGTTTCAGTCAGGTAGGTGGAGTGGAATTGTTAAATTAGATCTGTTTTAGTCAGGTAGGTGGTGTGGAATTGTTAAATTAGATCTGTTTCAGTCAGGTAGGTGGAGTGGAATTGTCAAATTAGATCTGTTTTAGTCTGGAAGGTGGTGTGGAATTGTCAAATTAAATCTGTTTTAGTCAGGTAGGTGGTGTGGAATTGTCAACTTAGATCTGTTTCTGTTTCAGTCAGGTAGGTGGAGTGGAATTGTCAAATTAGATCTGTTTCAGTCCGGTAGGTGGAGTGGAATTGTCAAATTAAATCTGTTTTAGTCAGGTAGGTGGTGTGGAATTGTCAACTTAGATCTGTTTCAGTCAGGTAGGTGTGTGGAATTGTCAAATTAGATCTGTTTCAGTCAGGTAGGTGGTGTGGAATTGTTAAATTAAATCTGTTTTAGTCAGGTAGGTGTGTGGATTTGTCAAATTAAATCTGTTCTAGTCAGGTAGGTGTGTGGAATTGTTAAATTAAATCTGTTTTAGTCAGGTAGGTGTGTGGATTTGTCAAATTAAATCTGTTTTAGTCAGGTAGGTGTGTGGAATTGTTAAATTAAATCTGTTTTAGTCAGGTAGGTGGAGTGGAATTGTCAAATTAGATCTGTTTCAGTCAGGTAGGTGATGTGGAATTGTCAAAATTGATCTATTTTAGTCTTGTAGATGGTGTAAAAAATGTCATATTACAGTTTGGTATATTTCAGCTATTTTTGTAGTACAGAGAAGTCAGACGATTCAAGCTCTTCTAATTTGGCTCGTGAAGCAATAAGAAATCAGAAACGTATTCAGAATCTTAGATGTAAGATAATGTTCACAGTAAAAAGAAATGTCTGAATCCGATTTATGAAGGGTTTCTATTTATCACAGATGAGAGTGATGCGGACACACAGTTTGGAGACGACGATGATGACTTTGATCTGTTCAGCAGACTAGAGGAGTCAAGAGCTGAGCTAGAGAACCAGTTAGGCTGTGACAGGTTCCTCAAAGTTTACAAGACGGTACAAGTAAGTGAAGAGCTTCATAGTATATATGTTAACAAAACATCATCAAAGGATTTACATGCAGCAAAGTAAATGCAATGTGTATAATTTAACCAGAGAGACAGAGATGACCTTAAAAGGGAATAGGTATGTTTTGACCAAAGACAGAGATGACCATATAAGGTAATGACCAAAATGCAAAAATGACCATATGAGATAATGAATATATTTTGACCTAAGACAGAGATGACCATATAAGGTAATGAAAATGTGTTCATCCAAGACAGAGATGACCATGTGAGGTATTGGGAATGTTTTAGGCTCTTCAAGAAGATGAAGATGAGAATATGGAAGACGGTGTGGCCATTGTGACAAAGATGCTTGGTAAAGACAAAGAGCATCTTTACCCTAAAATATTTCAACTGGTCATGGCTGACTCAGCATTCACAGAAGGTAAGAACATACCCTCTGTAGTCCACTGTGTAGACATTTGGTAACATAAAATTATGGTAGAAAATTTTCACAGTTTGGCTTGTGAACTTGTTCAATACACTTCTTAGATTTTCCTCCACGTAAGATAATTTCCGTATCGTCTTAAGAACATTTGTCACCAAATTATTCAGAATCAGTTATCCTCTTATAAACAACATTTTTCAAAGCATTTTTGTAAACTGTCAATATTCTATGATGAATAACTTTCTACAAATAAAATCAATTCTTTTCTAATCAGTTTAAATCATTTTAAGAAATGAATTTTTATTCATAAAGTCATGTTTTGCATAAATAATTGTTTATTTTCATTTTTTTTATCAGTTTGCTGTCTGTATGCAATATCTATAACTTTATAGCTAATTTCACCTCCTACAAACAAAATCAAATCATGTTTCAACTTGCTTTCTACATGCAAAATGGTAGTTCATAATTAAGTAATTAAATAATCAGAGTTATTTTTATCAAATTTAATCAAACAAAAATCTCAGCTAGCCTCTAAAATCATGGACATATTGAGCTCTATTGACCTAAATTATACTGATGCCAACTTTCAGAACAGAGATCTCAGCAGGGTGAGTGGCAGTGTTAAGTGGACATGACGTAACGTTTTGCTCTTGTGGCTTCACATTGTTGTGGCTTCACATCTGAACCTAATAACTATAGTTAAACAAACTCTGGAACAAACCCCAGTGTCATCTTAGAAACCTTACTATTGTTCCACTTGGACATTCAAACATCCTCTCTCTTCCAGATTCTTTGAATGTAACAAAGACTTGGGGTTTATTGGTGATTAAAATGCAATAAAACCCTTAATGTTGTTATCAAGAAAAACAATGATTATGTTTTCCCATACTCTAAATATTTTTTTTTAAATTGAGCAGTATGTTACATTAAAACATTGTGGGGGAGAATAGGTCACAGGGAACATTTTTGGAACTGGTATGTGTCTCCGTCTAAACTTTCAGAAGTAACACCTAACTCCTGACATTTTGTCAGTCTTGAAGTGTTCTTTTTGGTTAAACCTACAGATATCAGCAATTGACTGACAAGTCACTGTTTTTTTATAGAGTAGGATGTAATGGGTTTCTCATTACTCAGATACAGTAATAAACGTTTATAGAATAAAAATACATGTCAGCTGACTTCTCTTTCGGACAAGACAGGTTTTTCTCTTACCCAGGACAGGTAAATCCATGCCTTTTTTCCTCATGCGAGATTTTCTTGTCTTACTCTAGGGTTGAGACAAGCTACATATGCTCTTGGCATATTTTGAAAACAATTGAAGTGATGCACTGACGTGACCCTAAAGGGGAACTACTTTTATGAAAACCAGTTCGTCTGCCCCTGAAATCTTGTGTTATCTGAAAATTCTATGTTATTATCAAGATTGAAACTCATCTTAATCCACACCTTATCATTCAAACTATGTAAAATATCAAGAGTATAATTTTATTTGACATTTTATTGGCATGTACATTAGAATGATATTTTGTGTAAGATCAAATCACTGAAGCATCTGAGGCACGGGTCTCGTCACTATTCATACATCAATCACATGTTGTTGTTCACACATAATACACTTCTTCTTGCAATCGGACAAAAAAACAGGGCAAGAGAAAAATAATCCTTCATCCCCGTTAGTGTGAGATAGTGGGATTTCAACCCTTGGGAGAAGATTATAAAGGTGTCAAGCACTCGGCAAGCCTCATGTTAAGCCTCAACTTAATCATCTTTCCCCTCGGATGGAGATCCCACTATCTCATCCTAAAGGGAGTTAAAGATTCTATTAATCTTTCTCTAGGAATTATGGGAAAATATCAGTAACGTGTTGAAGAACATTTAGTATAGTGCTTTTATGTTTCTATATTTAAGGATAGCCATTTATTGTAGTTCAGAACCTTAAACCACTTGCTAGTGATTTGTTCAGAGTAACTTTGATCTTACTTGGAATAGATGTGGCTCAAGACAATAAAGTTGTGGGTATGATGGACATCAGTAGAGTCCATTCGTCTATCCATGGATGAAAGTTTTGTCAGGAACACTCGCTTTCTCGTCTAATTCTCTGATAATCATGAAATGTGACGTCTTCTAATTGTTATTGTTTAAAGTATCAATGGAGACCTGATAACTTTCGGTTGTATAATGATAGTTACCAAAACCTTATCTCAAGTGATCACTCTTTCTACTGGCTATGTCTCCTTATGTACACCCTTGTAATGTAGCATTCATTTGATAGGAACACATGTCACAAACACTTATCTGCACATGTTCTAGTAAAAAATCCCTTCTATCATCAGCTTAGATTAGAGTCATTGCTTCTATCAGTGTAGACTAGTTTAATCTTCTCTCGTCTTTTATTTAAATGGAAATTGGGGGGAGGTATGGGGCAGGATTCCAGATTCTGATGGAAAACATTTGTGCACAGAAATTTGGTAAACAAATGATTAAATACATGTGTACTAGATTCGAGATTTCAACCTGCGTAATGAATTCTGCGAGTCTTTAATGCAGTGTGTAAAAACTATTCATATTTTCCATGTTTACTTTTTTGTCCTTTCAGTGTTGTAAAGTCAGGTATTTTATGAAAAGATATTTTCTATTTTAAAACCTGTGCCTTTTCACTTGTCACAACTACAAGAAGATTGTTGTATTATGTTTTTTTGTTTAAACCATCTAACAAAGTTTGTATATAAATCCATAATTTACATATCATTGTCTGGATTTTAAAACATGAATTATTGTTTACTGTAAAAACTGTCAGTAAGATAAAATATATATTAGCTCTGATTGCTAATTTGTTCCAGATAGGAGAATTTCAAAGTGATCGTACTGGTTGCATCAATGATGGAGAGGAAACACAATTTTCTTTATTATCAGAATTTTTATTAATTAGCCTTAAAATTTTCCATGTTGCCCATTACTTTAAAATGAATGTAGAAATATGTTGTGTCCAAATAGAAATCTTAATTATCGCAAATATTGGTGAGTGGCTTCAAATTTTGTCAATATCATCGTTTTTTTGTTTATTTTTCTTTTTATAAAAGCACTTTTCAATTACTACCTTGTATCAAACAATGTTCTATTTCAAATAATTTACTGTGGTGTCAATTGGAGTAATGAGGAGATTCTGTTTTATTTGTAGATAACTGATGTTTAGGACCTTGAAAACTTTCCTGTTGAACGTCCACTGAAGGGGTCATTTGAAAACAGATGGTGGATTTATACCGAACGACTGGACTGTGACCCGAGTACAAATATTACTGCTGAAACACTCAAAAGAAAACCTGTTTGTATACCATTAAAAAAACAAAATGCCTGGTACAAATTTATTAATATTATTCCGGGGATCAGGGTTTATTTTTCTTTTGGACACCAGGTCAAATGTCTTCTACCATTGTGGTTGTAGGGATACTAGGGTTCACTATATTACCATATATATCCTGTGGTAATCCCAGGCAGACAACATGTAAACTTGACTCAAGATAGAAAGTTTACCTCATTACAAGTCACTGATGTATCACATTGGTTGGTACTTGTACTAAAACATCAATAAATGTGAGTGGGCTTATTGCCAAGCATCTGCTTATTGTCAAATTAATACATTTGTAGAAATAAGCATAAATAATCTTGTCATTATGTGAGAAAATGTTTCTACTGTGGAGAGAATAGAGATGATTTGATGATTTCAAAATAATTAACACTCTCAGTATCATTAGATGTCCTAAATTTGTCATGAAAATCCAAAGTTATTTAATATTTAATGTTTGTAAAAAAAAAGCTGTGATTTTGAAATGGAACTCCATTATATGAACCTGTCATGACCGAGATAGTTAATAACATTCATTATAATTTCTCCTGAATAATTAAAAACTGATATTTTTATTGCCGCTTAATTATATTCATAAGTTGATAATCTTATGACAAAATTCTAAAAAGATTAAAATTCTTCTGGGCAAATAGTTGGAAGAGAAATTAGTTAGGTAAATTGTCTCCAAATGTGAATGTGGTAGATATAAATTCAATAATCAATTGACTTTTCACGTTTTACAGTGAACATTGTATACCTGGTGTTGTGTAATAGGTAGGATCGGTTATTTCAACAATGACTTTGTTGGTAGTAGAATTCTTATGAAAAGTATATACAGGTGTTTACCATCGAGTGTTGAACAGCTTGAGATTGTCAAACACATATACAGTGTTAATGCTTTAACCATAATGAACTTGATAGATTTAATCAACTAGATAGTGAAATACATGTTAATTTAAAAGAGTGTGAATTTTGATGTCATAAGCTGTCAGAGTTTACATAATGCCTTAATATGCCGCCTAGGGAATGCCATATACACACATCTTGTGTAAAATTGCCAGTTTAGTCACTGACTTTGTACAATACAGTGGCTAGTTAACGAGGTTGTTTCAGTTTAGTCACTGACTTTGTACAATACAGTGGCTAGTTAATGAGGTTGTTTCAGTTTAGTCACTGACTTTGTACAATACAATGGCTAGTTAACGAGATTGTTTATTTGTTGAAAAGTAAATAGCTGATTTATCAGGCTATTTCATTATAACTAGTAAAAGTAGCAAATATGTTGTGATGTTGGCATTTTCGAATTGTTATTCTGTCACTGTTGGATAGAAATAGGTTTTGTGTGAAATGTCTGCGCTTTTCACAGGGTGTATATAATACAGAGGTATATTCAGTACGTACAGATCTAGAAACCAACATTAGAGCTTGTCTTTCACTTAAAGTATATATACATCAATATTAGATTTAATACAAGTATAAACTTGTGTAGACAAATACATTCCATTCTGTATGAATTGCCTGATAGAAACAAAGTTGTGATGCCTTTCATTTAAAATGGAAAATATGTTGCTGACAGAATGTGATAAGAAGTGTTTATAACTGTAATGACTTTTAATTGCGACGTATAAATAGATATATATATAATATAAACCTGTGGTATAGATTAGATTTTGTGTTGTCAGCATCAATATCAAGATTTATTGATATTTTGGAATGGATTGAAATATTGATTAGAATACATACAAGATTGAAGTGTGAAAATACATATACTTATTGATGGTAAGATTGATTTCGGTTATGTTCCAGTGTCTCTTACTGTTGAGATTTTCTTACATTAACCATTTACATAGATTGAAAGAATTTAAATTTGTTTGAAGGAAAGGTAATTATGCAATTTTTTTCTATAAATTGCTGAATTTGTACATTGTTATGTTTATTCATAGATACATACAGCCATCAGTACAATCATACACAGAACAAAAAATAAAAATTCCATTTTTGTCAAATATTGTTTCATTTACACGTAATATGTTCCAATTCAAATTATCTTTGCAACCTCATGACCTTGTGATCAAATGTTAATTAATCCTGATTGACTGATCATTGTTTATTTACTGTACAGAGATAAGTTTGTTATTGTCTTTACCAAACCACAGTAATAGTTTTGTTTTCCGTCCCATCGTTTCAGATGTATGACATTGTTTTTTTGTCAACATTTCATACAATGTGTGAGTTTAATTTCACATTTTCTTTGTTTATTTTTTTCCACCATTTTGTTCCGTCCACCATTTGTCCAGATATTCAGTATCAGTCACGCAGTCTACTGGACAAACTTTCAGTAACACATGGTTTCATAGGATTTCATGATCAGATATTGCCTTAGCCTAAAGTTATAAGTGCTCCTTATCAAGTTTAAAACCATATTTTGAATAATTTATGAAATTTCAATGTAACATGTCATAATGCTATGGAAGATGATCAACTTCTGTAGTTTTTGCCTAGACTGGGACATCATCAAGAAGTGTATAAATTATAAATTGTGTTTTATACTATTTCTAGCTTTCTTTGAGAAGCACTTTTTAAGTACTTGGTTTTGTTTGCATATGCAATACTGTAGATAGTAATTTTTGCCAGAGGAACTTTTTTTTTGTTAAAATAAGTAATTGATCAGTATTGACACAATAAAACCCATAATCTCATTATTTTTTTTGACAATTTCATTTTCTAACAATCAAATTTGATCAATTTTTTTTGGGTATTAATGATGACAAAGGTATTATGACTTATAGAAATATAAGCAATGCAGAAAATTGAAAAAAAACCACCAACATTTGGTGAATGACTAACTGTTATAGACAATAAAGAACGTTTAACATTAGTCTGGGCCTGGTGATTCGCAGGAAGTTTTACACATCTTACAGACTAGTTTGACCGTTTTATCCTTGTCTAATCTTTCAGATGAAACAAAACTGTATCTACCAACTGATTCAATGCATCTAGAGGCTGATAAAGACCATTTCTATTGTGCTATGTAACGTTTGGAGTAATAGTAGTAGGTGCTATCACCCTCTAGTCTACAGATTTTGGAGTTATACAGGTAGTTATCATTACTTGTGACATTATTTTTCCGGTGGAAGCAAGTGAGTGTAACCTTCTATGTATATATTTTATATAAAATGATGAAGATTTCAACATCCTGTACATCAAGAGGTTGGGATTCTTTAATGACCATTTCTGTTTTAATTTCCGTCCGTTATTTTCTTTTTGAAGTAAGTCCAGGAATTCCTTATTTGCTTGTATGTAATTGTTTTGTTATCATCACACAGTATTATAAATGTATCGAGTGCTTGTATCACTGATGTTTGTTTTGTGGTCGGCAATTTTCTCTTTTGATTTACAACCAAAACTGACAAGAGCCAAATTACGATCGTGTTAAAAGCAGTTCTATTCAACTTTTAGAAATTGCTGTTAAGTAAGAAATGGGACCAATATTGAGAACAGTTCTGTACATCAATACACCCCGCTGACATCACACTGCATTTTATTTCGGTTGTGTTTTGTTATCCTCACTACCCTTCCATACCCCCTGTATGTGATCATGTATTTGGTTTGTTTGAAAATTGAGCTCCCTAGCAACCAAGTTTAAATACTTGCTACATAAATATTCTCAGTTTCTGTCCATACAACAAAGAATATCATTAGACATTACATATACATATAAAATATAGACAGTCTTGTTCTCCACACCTCACATCAGTCAACCATCTTGTTTTATGTGACTTGTCATTTTGAATAAATCAAATGATCACAGACCTGTTGTTGATTTTCATTCCACTAAACTATATTTAAACTGATTTCAAAACCGAGTACAATTGTACTCAGTGTAATGAACATTTCTATACTAATTAACGGCTTTTCCTGCTTTTAAGTACCAGAGGTGAGCATTGCAGAAACTAAGAAAAATGTCCTTTTCTAAGATTGTTTTAGAGGGTAACAAAAGATGAACAAAAGAAATACAACAGGCATGGAGAACAACCACAGTTATTAGCAACGTCTGTGAATATATAATAAAATTATTGATAGATGAGACGGCTACCTGTGTACTGTTGTAAAACTGACGTCCTCACATATCTTCTATTCCACTATTACTGGTAGCTGAAAGTGATTAATGATATGCTTAAATGAACTTCCTTTAGTTTGATCCGGACCATTAGTAAGTTGTGTAATGGTTACCATCAGTCTGTGTAATGGTCACCAGTAGTCTGTGTAATGGTTACCAGCAGTCTGTGTAATGGTCACCAGTAGTCCGTGTAATGGTTACCAGTAGTCTGTGTAATGGTCACCATCAGTCTGTGTAATGGTCACCAGTAGTCTGTGTAATGGTTACCATCAGTCTGTGTAATGGTCACCAGTAGTCTGTGTGATGGTTACCAGTAGTCTGTGTAATGGTCACCATCAGTCTGTGTAATGGTCACCAGTAGTCTGTGTAATGGTTACCAGTAGTTTGTGTAATGGGTACCAGCAGTCTGCGTAATGGTTGCAAGTAGTCTGCGCAGTGGTTACCAGCAGTCTGCATAATAGTTACCAACAGTCTGCGTAATGATTACCAGCAGTCTGTGTAACGGCAGTCTGTGTAATGGTTACCGGCAGTCTGTGTAATGGTTACCGGCAGTCTGTGTAATGGTAACCATCAGTCTGTGTAATGGTTACCGACAGTCTGCGTAATGGTTACCAGTGGTCTGCGTAATGGTTACCTGCAGTCTGTGTAATGGTTACCAGTGGTCTGTGTAATGGTTACCAGCAGTCTGTGTACTGGTTACCATCAGTCTGTGTAATGGTTACCATCAGACTGTGTAATGGTTACCAGTAGTCTGTGAAATGGGTACCGACAGTCTGCGTAATGGTTACCAGTAGTCATTGTAATGGTTACATTCAGTCTGGCAGTCTGTGTAATGGTTACCATCAGTCTGTGTATTGGGTACCAGCAGGACCAGTTATTCTCTTGGATAGCCCAGTACAGACAGAGGGAATCTTGGCACCAAATCGTGTCTCGGCCACGCAAGGTCTTTGTCTCTTCCTTTTATACTCGCTGAACATATAAATGGAATTTCACATGTGCCAATTCAGAAAGCTCGGTCCGTGCACCCAAAATCATGGTCATTTCAAGTTCAGACTTCTAACTCACTTTTGTAACTCGTCGAAGGGTAACTTCAGTATTTTTTAGGTGAATAAATCAAATTACAAGTCCCGGAATATCAAACTTTCAACGTTACTTTCGGTTCGAAGGTCGAAGTTCCTACGTGCTTTGACTGTTGTGTCTACAAGTTTGATCGATTTTCTTGTTGATATTTTGAAGCTCTGTACACGAGTGCACGTTTATAAACAGGGAATATGTATGCACGTTGTAAATTAGACAGTCCAATGTTTGTAAATTAGCGACAGTGAAGTGTAGATCTTTTGAAAGCTATGACAAAATGGACGGTAATTTCACTGATAAGAACAGTTGACTTATCATAAATATAATATACTGCACCACTCAATGCTTATTTGAACTATCACGCTCGCTGCGACTCGTTAAGACTGATTTCCTTTTATACATAACCTTAGTGATGCTAAAGTAGATAGTTTTTTTTTTCTGTTTTTATCAAATCTGCTTGTCGACATACAATCAAAGTTATCCCAGTCGGTAGGTGATTCACTAAAATATATTTCTACCTCCTAAAATATATATTTATTTTTAAATGTCACTAATGGAATCAAATTACACACAGGAAAAAGTTTACAATGTCCCTAGATTCAGAGGTAAAATACACACAATTATGGCTCCAATTCGGATTCATCAGACACCCGCAACACAGTCCTTGTTAAACAGACTGACTTCGCCGGTTGCTGGGAAAAAATGAAATTGGAGTGTGCCTTCGGTTGAATAATTTGAAAAAATTCTTTTATAATATTTTATATTCATTTAAAACAGTGTTGTACACGATATTTTAAACTTGCCATTCATATTGTCATTGAACAGGGCAGGGGGAGGGGGGTCCAGTATATCATGGGATACAGTAGTATTATCCGTGACTCCTCCAATAAGAATTACACATCTACATTGTTTTTTGTATATATCATCAATTAACTTTAAAATATTCATTGAAAATACTTTTTTATAATCCCACGACATATGTGGAATACCTTGTTCCTAAGATACATAGGAATGTGATTCATCATAAACTTCAATTACCCATTCTCCTCCATCAGTTTCTTACTCAAAATATTTCATATTTGTCAACGAGTTTATCAACATGGTCAACAGTCTAAATAATTTGGTATTGTTGTTGCTAGCTTAGGAATGCAAAAACACAGAAAGTATCTCGAATGTTACCAATTGCACTTCAATTGAGATAAATGAGTTATTCTCTTTCATTGATGTACACCAATCTCAGACAAAGATATTAAATTTCAAATTAATTACAGTGTCAAAGGGGTTGGTTAATAATGTCGATATTAGATGTTATCGTGAGAAAATTGGTTTTGCGAATATTTAACACATATCTGATCTTATATATATGATAAACAGAATCTCACATTTGTTTCCTTTGTATATAAATTCAATAATACAAGATAAGATAATTTTCAGTTGTTAAGCGCAGTGACATATATTTATATCCTTGAAACGGTTTCTCCACGTTATGTTGCTTAAATACCAAGTACTCATAGTTTACATGTACAGCAAAACACGGCTATGAAGCAATTTCTTCTCCATGCTTAGAATCTATATTACGTTTGATAGGAAAAATAAAATAAAAAGCAATTTCATAGCCAGAAATCTAAACAGTGTTTCGATGGAGCATTTATATATGTCCCTATCAGTACCTATCCCAGATATTGTGTAGATTCTCGTCTTGAGATGTAGGCCTATGGGAAATGCATTTCATAACTGATAGATCTATAAGTAAGATAAAATGGTCTGTTTCAATTACAGATGTAGATTTCTAGTTTTAATGCCTTGTTGATATTTTTATCGTCTTAAAATTCAGACCTGGTGCTCTTTTGCATGGCATCTAACTGAATATGCATGCATTTTGTCCTTTCTTAAGTATGCATTAAATCAGACAGATTTGAATTAAAATTTAATGATATCTAATTGTTCTTCCTTGTTTTCAGGAAGTAGATTTAATTTTAATTCTTTTCTGTCACTTATCTCAGTCTTCATCAGACATATTTGTGATAATAACACACGTTAAAATTGATTGTTTGTCATGCGCAGTACGTTTATGTTAAAGTAATACGTTATAAGGGACTTGGTTTATTTCTTTCAATTCCATGTTGACTTTTATGTGTTTAATCAAAGTAGAAATCACTTTAATGTTTTATATCAATGTTCATTTACTGATATGTGAAGTTGTAATATCCGTGTAGACTTCCTATTCAATCAATATCGTGCACGTGCAGGTGAAGAATCAATTAAATTAAGATTTATTGGCACTTTATCAGATATATGGACCTGGTCAAGCAGAAACCTCCCTATTAAGACATTTCATTCCCTGGTTGGTTTCATATAACTTTGATATAAACTTCGTTCCATTTCTAGTTATTTACATATATATCACGAGTATATAAGAGCAATTTTATCCGAATTGTGTTTTTACAGCTTATCTGGATGTGTCTCCTTTTCTGAAACACGTGAATTAATGAGACACGTCATCAAATGGAAACGTGAAGAAGAAGCCATTGATTATCATACTAGCGTAAGGGAAGAACAAAGAAGAGAAATAAATATGAGAGAAAGTGACAGAGTGATACTGAAGGAATAAAAGAGGAAAGTTGTCTGTGCCATGGTATGATAGGAAGACTGTAACAACTGTGTACTGGACACACAAAAAATAATTCAAATCTGTTAGAGCTAATAATGAAGTTTTGAACACACGAAAAGATCAACAAATTTTCATCCTCTGTGAGCCGTTATCAAACCGAAAGAGTAGTATTTTGTATTTTAGTAATATGTGAGTGTCAATGATAATAAAACAACATGTACGAATCCTAGACAAAGAGTCGGCAGTGTAATAAAAAGTGTCCGTTCGTCTCGTTTTCTTCATTAAAAGAGCACAGTGGAATATCAGTAAGACTGAAATAGATAAAATCTTAGTGAAGTGCATTCCCTCCTGAATCTTGCATGGTGAATCTGACCAAGTCTGCTGCTGATACAGAAATAATAATAAAGAGATAGATCTATAGTTACTTAAAATAGACTTATTGTCTTTTTAGTGTACAGAAGTTACAAAAGCAATCTTCCAACCTATTGGAAAATAGATATGAGATATCAGATACGAGAGATTGATTGAAGTGTGTGCTTGGTGAGGGGGTACATAAAATATCAACTGACTCTTTAAGTAACCGGGGATTCACAAGATCAGGACCATTGGCTTTAGTCCAGTCAACATTTAGCATCTTTAGCATCAGTAGCAGTTACAAGGACATGAGACAGAATATGGTTACATTTGTAGTCAATATTTAGAAGGACATCGTAAGAATCATTAGTAGATAACTTGGAACAGAACCCACACCCACGACAGATTTTGTCTGTACTGCAGATATAGCAGACACGGTGAGCGTTTCCCCAACGCATGGTATAACTCGCATGTAGTTTTCTAGAACCATTAAAGAAAAATATCTCATTACTATAGATAATTGAATATTTGATTTAACTTTTCATGGTGGGTTTTGTACACGTGCATAATCATAGATTCACATTGGTTTATTAAACGTGTATATTTATAGAACCATTTTTGTTTTGAATACACGTGAATATTTATAGAAGCACTGTGTTTAAATACATGTGTTGAATTATAGAATCACTGTTTTTGTATACACGTGTTTGATTATAGAAACACCGTGTATTGTATTCAAGTGTATATCTATAGAAGCACTGTGTTTGTATACACGTGTATATTTATAGACTCAATATAGGTTATATTCACGTGTATAATTATAGATTCACTATGGGTTGTACACCTGTGTATAATTATAGATTCACTATGGGTTGTACACCTGTGTATAATTATAGATTCACTATGGGTTGTACACCTGTGTATAATTATAGATTCACTATGGGTTGTACACCTGTGTATAATTATAGATACACTATGGGTTGTACACCTGTGTATAATTATAGATTCACTATGGGTTGTACACCTGTGTATAATTATAGATTCACTATGGGTTGTACACCTGTGTATAATTATAGATTCACTATGGGTTGTACACCTGTGTATAATTATAGATTCACTATGGGTTGTACACCTGTGTATAATTATAGATACACTATGGTTTGTATACCTGCGTATACTTATATAAACACCCGTTACCGTACGCACGAGGGTACTTATATAATATGTTGATCATTAAATCAATGCGAACATCAGCTGAATCTTATCTCACAATTTATTGTAAGTGACATGATGCTAACACGTGCTTTATCATTAATTCATTAACTAGTTAGATAGTTTCTTTAAATAGTTGACCGCGTCAGGTTCATATTGTGTTACTAAACTATTAATTATTTCAATATAAAGTATTGTTGATGTCATGAATGATTTCTCTGAAATTTAAGATATAATTAGTAATGTTGTTTTTATTTCAAGTTTTTACCGTATTGTAAAACTCAAGAATTGTCGAAGTCAATTTGATCTTGTTTATTTGGAAGAGAAGGAAACCTTTCAGTTACATAAATTATACTTTCACACTCGAAAGTGAAACTCATGGATTGTTTAAGATTGATTTAACTGTCTGGAAACTTATTGGCAATTACTAGGAAACGAGTTTGATATTAAGTTTAAAATCAGATTTCAGTTTGAAATAAATCTTTCTTAGTTTTTCTTTGAAAGAGACAAATTATATACGGTCCTACATTTTAGTGTTGTCAGTGAGATAGGCCCTGAGTGCTGTAAGCTAACCACGGATATCTAAGATCCTTCTTTATGACTTAGAGGCGTTTTATAGGCTCGGTGTTTACACATCGTTCATACGGTTTAATTTAGACCTAATGCATTAATACGCTACTCAAGATCGTAAACTGCTTGTCGTGCACGAGCACCAGTTAATCTCCCAGCCCTCTCATCAAACAGGAAACTATAAAACGAAAGGTATACTCAGCTTTACGATTGGAAAAATACCACTCACATCTGAAATATCTATATGCGCAATATCAATACCAATGATTCGTAATAGTTTCTTTCATTTTTTAATTGTTCAAATATTCTGGTTTTATTTTCCTGTACGGTGTAAATAACTTTTCATATATTGTAATTTCGTCCTTCTCATTAAGTTCATTTTTTTTTTTTTTTTTGTCGTGGTGGTCTTTTTTATTAATCTTTATAATAATGAGCACAGAGGCCTATTAAAAAAAAGCAAAGAGAAAAAAATAAGAATTGCATACTTCATGTATATGTGACATTTTCAAAAAAAAAAAAAAAAAAACGTTTTGGCGCAATAACGTCACAAATCACGCGTATAGTTGAACGTGCATGAGAAACATTCTTAAACCGGTATCGTCACTCAAGCGATGCATTTATATCATTGGATGACTAGCTGATTTTTTCACTAAATAAAGAACAGGAAAATCATGCAGTGAGAGGTAATTGTATTTTTTGTTGGTCACCGCAAGCTTATCAGACAGCAAGCTTTAGAACCCTAACACCCACCTATATCTTATATAAACTGAGATTAATGTGTACTGAAGGGAGAATGTGTTTACTTATCATAGATGTTAAATAGCGTCATCCATCACACTGACAGCACGCTATGACAGAGTAGGATCCGAAAAACCAACAACCATGAAATTCACTTTCTTCTTATAAGCACACGTTCAATTTGAATCCATTCTCCCCATAATGATTTTAATTTGACAGAAACAGATCTAGGAGGAAACAGACACAATAAATATTCTATAATGTATTTTAATGATGATATATCTTTTGTCCTTGTTGATTTGTGTTGACTAACGTGAGTATCAATGGGATTTTTTGAATGGACGGATTAACCTAAAGAAAATATTTACGCAAATATTCGCTTTTTATTTGACTCATCCACTCCAAATTCTGTAAGGGGATATTCTTACTTTTCATTTTTATTCCATGTTTGAATAGCAGCATATTTCAGAATATTTTAAAATAATGAAGTTTATCTTATGCGTAAGTGCACCTCCCCATCAATGACTTTAGGTCCTTTTATCACTTACCGCCCCAATTTTCTGATGACATGTGCTTTTCACTTGTGTAGGAAAGATCAAAGTTCCCCGTCAAACGGAGTAGAAAGTTATATTCGGGCTAGGATATATACAAATATTTGTAATGAACAAACTGTCCTCAATGACCCTGGAAGTGACAATGACAAAACCTACTACGACACCAATAACCTGGACCTTAGTTTGATCAGATAGTAATATGTCAGAATCAATGTGGTTGATATTGTGGAATTGTTTTCTCTTCAACTGTGTGGACGATCCTACAAAATACACACGAGTGTTAGCACCTTTTGATACAAATTTAGACATAAAGGACTAATCAGTGATGCTAAAGGCTGAAAGTTTAAACCCGAAGAGGCAACTGAGGAAAATTAAAAGGAATTGAAAAAATATCAAAATCTAGACGGGGATTTAAGTGAGGGATACTCGGCAGATTTTTATATCCTATTCCGGAGGGGGTGCGGGGAGAGCAATTAAACACCAAAATCTATTTTCTGCACCTACTGGAATCTTGGAACATTGCATTTCATTTTCTGCTGTCGAGATAGAAATACATCCAGGGGGTATGGGAGTGTGTCATATGTATAAAACCATTTCTGTTACGAGGTCGATCAACCCTGATCAATCAAATTAATTTCTGATATTGCGATTTGCAAGCAGAGCGATATTGTGTGAAAATCAGTAAAGTATAAAAACAGAAACAAAAAGTGAAAAAAGAGTTTTAATAGCATATCTGTCTCCAATACAATATTTACATAACAATGATTGTAAGTGATCTGTCTTCGCAGCAGGGAAGAACAAGTCAAAACAAACGGAAGTAAAGCATTATCGTACCGAATGGATTGTATCAACATCTGTTGATAAGGTAGAGGATCACACACTGGGTGAGTTAGACTACAAAATCTACTGACAAAGAGACCATAATTATATCGCCAGTTTCCTAATAATATGGATTTTCAATTTCTAATGATCAGTAAGTAAAATACATTATTATACAGCAACCTGGCAGTATCTTTACAGAGCCTTACGGCATACCTCTCCTAATTTATTTACAGGTGGTGAAATTGTTACATGTCCAGTTTTTAATCAATATGAAACGCATAGCCTGGACCCTGTATAGTGTGATGTAAAAGTAATGTCATATTTCATTTCACAAAAGTGCATTGATAAAGAATTAAATCGATAACTGAATTTCCAATCTATTAAAATCGATTTTTATTCATGAAATTTCAACTACGTTTTATCAGATCTACTCGATGAACTGTCACTACTAGCAAAGCAAAAGTCCGTTAATACCGAAATAATCAAATTTGTTTCGGTTAAAAAACATAAAATTAATATGATACAAAACAATGGTTAGAATTATTGGTTTATTATTTATGCAACAAACAACACTCATGGATTTCATTCATTAACGTATTGTAAAATCATTTATATTCATGGGGCTCAAATTTCGTGGTTTTACCGAAACTTTGGCGAATAAATCATATTCACGAAATTTGTTATTGCTATAATCCATGTTAAAGTTATTTGTATATCATTTCGTGGATGAATAAACTCGTGGATTAAGATTAACCATGAATTCGGCGAAAATAAAATCCCCATGAAAATTCATGACTATACAGTAATCTATATACAACATGCATATATGAAGTAAAAAGGCACTTCTCCAGATCTTATCTTGTCCTAGTGGAGGTCTTGAAATAATCATATCTTGTTTTCTCAGTTTGACGAGTTTGTGATGACAAATCAAAATATTTTCACACATTTATTGATCTTATTCAAAGTCCTTAAACAATAAGTTGACAAGTGAAGGTAGTTTTTATTAAGCGCATAACTATCTAAAATTATCCTATTTGTCATTTCATCCACGCTTTCTTACTCAATAATAGGAGTCGATTTTGATTTCCGGAATATTATTACGTAAGTCGTCTTCCGGTAACATAGACACTGACGGAATGGACTCCAAAGATCGTTGCCATGGGGACGTGGTTTCTGCAACACTTAAGTCTATAAATAGATCCACGTAGTTATCATCCACAACCGAGTATCTAGGTAGAAGCCTAGCGGTTTGTGGGCCCAGCGGAACACCATTACTTGGAGATTTTTCAAAATAGCTAACAATATCAAACGGTTTGCTGCCATTATCGGGGACTTTCTTTTCTTTTATGTATGCGTCGATACTGTGCTCTTTGGGTTTTTCATTTTTCTCGTTTTTTCCATTTTCAGTCTCGGCCTTATCCTCCAATATTGTTTCGAGGCTCTGACTCGCTTTTTTTGCATTACTTGGATTTCCTTCATCTATACTGTTAGTTTCTGATCGCATTTCACTTCCATCGGTTTCCGACGAAGCATCTTGTTCAAAAATAAGATCACACAGAGGCCAGTTTTGCTTGAATTCGCTGATAATTTCGTCGATTTGACCTTTGAAACTCAATGTTTTCAAGTTAAGTTTAACTGACTTTCGTGGTAAAACATTTTTCAAGAGCATCGGAACGAAACCCCCAGCAAGAGTTGCCAAGGTCTGATTTGTGGAAGAGATTTGGTGGACGTTTCCGAAAGCCATAACAACGATCATGACAAAGAAGAGGAATATGACGATAATGAGGAATTTACCTGTGGCACGTAGGAGGTTGATATACACGGGTCCGGGTGCTCCATGTATCCGTACCTCACAAAGCTTCTTGAAGAGACGCAATGGAATTCTCGGTGTGTCATATGAATCGAGGAATAATAACAGATGGCCTATTCTCCAAGCTGGTTCTTTTTTCTCGAAAGACAGAATGGTTGTGATTTCATCGAGTGTTTCCGGTGGTTGGACTTGGAATGCAGCGTTTTCCTGCATACTTGAAGGTAAACTTGCTACCTTCTTCAAATCCTCCACTCTATCCATAACATCTTCTATCACCGTCTTGTTGAAAGTAAGGTAACTCTCGTAGACATTGTTGTAACAGTCATGCATATAGACAATAACCAATAACGCCATGGACACGTATCGGAGTGTGCTGCCAGCGTTCACAATGATACCCATCATGGTAAAGGCCAGAACCTCGACAACAAGGCCAACAGCTTCTACAAACAACAGGACAATGGCGTACAGACAAGACAGGCAAAACAAACCAACAATCAATTGTACAAATACACGTCTGATCATCATCAGGCGTCCCGAACCCCACGTGCAAGGAAATACGTGATCATCTTCTGTGAATGCTGAATTACGGCGATGTACACTGTTGTCAATTTTTGATAACTGTTTCTGAATTTTTTTCACATGTTTTTTAGTTTTACTAAGAGGCTTTATAGCGTCTTTTGTGTCGTCTCGATAAGAAATTTTCTTTCTCGAATGATACAGCAGTCGGTAGGATAAGTACACAGTCGGTACACAATATAATATAAAAACCAGAAGACAAAGCGGTGTAGTGAAGCTCGCGTATATTGGGCATAGTATTATTGCCAGTAAACCACACTTACGGAAAGGCCACAGACTAATTCTCAGAATCACTTGCAGCACACTTGTCCTTTGCACATTAAGCATATCCTGAAGTGATCCCCGAGCAATGGATTTCAGTTTTTCTCTTGTAATTTCGTCTGAAAATCCTATGATGAAACCTGCTGAAAAATAGAACACATAGGTAGCAATGAAAATTCCATGTGTTGGTGTTAAATACTGAATGATATTTCCTCGGTAGAAATTAAATCCCATTTGCAAGTTCAGCTCTTTCGCTACCATATTTCTCCGGATCATTTCTCCTTGTTCAAACTGGTAATAGATGTAAACCCTTATATAATAAGGTATTGGGACGAGAAATAATAGAAGAATCTTCACTGTCATCTGCACAAACATATGCCATGTGCACTTGTGTGCAATTTGAGGTTCAAGAGAGGCGTACACACTTCTGTCGCAACACTCTCGGAACGGATCCAGGGCTTTTATCTTACATCGAATCAGATTATCGTAAATTGTCCGTAGGAGTCCAGTTGGAGGCTCGTTCTCCGGGATAATCCTCTTACCCTTTACCTTAATACGTAACTCCGGTATTTTGATAGCTACTATCTCGTCCATTGGACATTCGTCTATGCTCTCTCGAAATTTCTTCCATTCAGAAATTTCTTCAATTGTTAGTCGCTTTTTGTACCTGATTGATGTTTCGGTACTTTCCGTGATAAACATTTTCATTTTGAGTTCATCTTTTAGTTTTACCACATATTCAGAAGCCACATATGACGCACTGTACATGTAGCTCGGCAGAAGTAAAGGACTGAAAAAGAAGACGAGAATTTTCACTAGAGCTATACAAACATATAGCACTGTTATCCAGGCATCTTCCACCTGATCAGTACAGACAGTGTCCCCGTTAATGTTCTGATGGCAGCATCTGTTACCAAATTCTGCGTACTGATCAGTCTTTTTCACCACTTCGTTACACACATACACAATATTTTGTAGATGTGTTTCGCTTTCTAGCTCTGTCATTGTTTTCTTCACAGAACTAAAATCGTCCAAAATAAGTTGTCGGATTTTTTCTACCCTTTTCTCACCAGTCAAATTACCGAAACAGCCAAAGGGACTGTCGACAAGTTCAATGTTATTCGCCTCCACGCCGATAGTGAGAATAGTCATTGATAGGACATCGTAATGGAAGGATAACATCAGGAGAGTCCTGCCGTGTTGCGTCCTAGTCCTGTGCCACCTCCATGGCTTGTAGTTCATGCCAAGGTCTTTGTACAGCGGCTCTGTGGTATAGTTTGCCATGCTGAAGTGGAATTCGTTCAATTGGACCCAAGCATCGTCCATGTATTTTGAGAACGTGTCGTCCACGGGTTTGATAGTACATTTTGTGTTGGGACTCTCCTGTCCTTCTCGTTTGGTTGGAACAACAGCATGGCTAGTTGACAGAACACAGAGGAGAATCTTTGATACAAAGAACACATATATAAATGACGTCATTGCTGATGCGCTCTACATGTCCACAGTTTCCTGAAACGAGATTATACAACCATTACATATATTGTAACACAATAGTTTCTGAACCCTGAATTATATTAGTAAAATACATATCAAATCTGTCAAGTTATATCAATGTGGATTATTTATTATTTCTTTCATAACTGTTGTCATATCATCAACACGGGTGTGGTAAGTATTGTTTGGTTTGTTTCTACAGTGTACACGCGGTAGCAGTGTGATATCCACTTCCATTATGGACATTCCATGACTTAACTCGACAAAGTAGTTGTCTTTTTATTATTGACAATTCTGATATATGATCCCAATATTGTACAGCAAAAAACAAGATATGAAACATCAAATATTTACCACATCAGTTTACAGCAGTTCCTTAAGATTTGTTTAGAATATCACGTGCTAAACCACATCATAGAAAATTGACAAGCCAGGAATGTGAAACTTGTGTCGTGGTATTGTCACTGATAGACAATCAATTTGTTAGTTATGTATGGAGACAATGTTAATGATGGTGATCAACACATATCATTTATCACATGACGTCATCCATCAACTCCTTGTTGTTGGTGACAGGCTTTTAGTATAGACTTGCACAAGCCCCTTTATTCAACATATATGACATAAAATAAATATGACAAATACATAAATGTGAACCTAAATGCATAGTGAGAGGTTATTCTATCTGGTTATTGTATATCAGCTGTTGCGAAGACGAATTTCTTTCAATTCAAATAAAACATAGGAAAATAATAAGAAATTATCACTATAGTAACATAATCATTATCCAAAGTCAAATTCAATGAAACTAGAATGAAATACGAACGAAAGAAATATTTACACGACCTGTAAATATCATAGACTGGAAATGCCGGTATGTTGCTATCCACAAATAGAAAATTAACAATAGGGAAATTGAATTTGTGCGTTGTTCATTTTGAAAATAAATCAATTATGGAAATTTTGAGGTTAATGCGAGAACAAATGATTTAAAGTAAGACGAAAATAGAAATATTAGACTCTTTAGATTCTTCGATTCCAAAGTGTCTTTTTGATATTGAGACAAAGTGTCTTTTTGATATTGAGACAAAGTGTCTTTTTGATGTTAAGACAAAGTGTCTTTTTGATATTGAGACAAAGTGTCTTTTTGATGTTAAGACAAAGTGTCTTTTTGATATTGAGACAAAGTGTCTTTTTGATATTGAGACAAAGTGTCTTTTTGATATTGAGACAAAGTGTCTTTTTGATATTGAGACAAAGTGTCTTTTTGATATCAAGACTAGCTAAATGGATCGAGAAAACAGAATCAAACCATGATTTCTTTAACAGAGATAAATATCACCGAAGATAACAATAAAACTATTCATTACGATGTGGTTTTACATTCGATGTGTTACATTAGAGCTGTTACACACGATGATTATTGGTATAAACAGAAAACTGTCACATCAGATATCTTACCAACATTTTGAATTCAAAAATCATTTGTATAAGAATTATGTTGAGGTTTACAGTTTATCAAAACTAAGATACATTCCGCGTTTTGTCTTATAAAAACAACTGTAGTGATGCATCACTGTAATATTCAATTTACATAAAGTAACTTTTAGTTTAGAATTAAATGTCCATCTTTTTAGCTACAACCAATCAATTTTAATATATGCTATATTAGCGTATAGTCGGTTAAATTTTATTATTTGTCACATTGACATATATGTATATTGGACACTTGAATATGTGTTTTAATTCCAATATATATGCATCATGAGCTTTATGTAGTGCACTACTTTTAATTAATGATTCAAATTAAAACTATCATTATGTTCACTGTGATACATTTACTCTATATGTGATGTTATAACCTTTTAATAATACAATGTAATTTAATGTTGTAAATACTGTACATTTTACTGTCGACCGCTTGTAAGAAGAGTCTTTGACTCGACCTGAAATAAAGTCTATTATTATTATTATTATTTACATAGTTGGAAGCTGTACTCGAAGTAAGACAATAATGGAGGGGGGATGAGGGGTAGGTAAAAGGGATGTTAAGAAGGGGAAGTAGTAAAAATGATTTATATGCTACGTTGAATAAAAAAGTCTTGGTAACAATTTAGAAAAAAAAATACTTCATAAATGTCAAAACTAGGTATAACTATGATAAGGCTAAAGAAAGTTTAATTTGGTTTAGCACTGGAGATTAAATTTCATTTTACTCCACACAGCAGGGATCCATTGCCTCATCTCAGGTATGTAGGTCAATGCACTATGGTAAGATACGGACAGACAGATATGAACCTGATGTGTGTGACTGTAACGATAAATGACATTTTTATTATACTTAACATATAGTTAAATGTAACTGCCCTCGCTGTGTTAGAGGATGCCAAATGTGAAAGTCAGTATATTCTATTGGACCAATTAAATTATTATATGGTAATTCGTTAAAATATAAGAATATTTCAACGGAATTCATATTTTATGTGACCTTTTACATGACCCGCATAAGAATAACCACATACTCCGAGAGTAAGGTCAAATAAACAACTGTATACTTTTAAATTCGCATACATTTAATTGACCACTAAAGTAAATACATCCAAGTTTTTAATGTTATGGGTTAATGTTTAACATAAATCACGTGATAGTGATGATTATTGAAACGTGACTCCATTAACAAAACACTTATGTAAATTTTGTATACGTCCTTTGCATTTGTAAACAAATTGACATTGTGTATACTTCCAAACATTAGTACTTGCTCCGCCCATTGGGGCCGTGTAAAGCTTCGAATAAACATACACCATGTAAACAGAGATATTCTATTTAGTGGTCACTTTATTAAAAAGTAACATTTTCTCAACGAGAGTGAACGCATTCGGATCCCCGGCTTAATTCTGTGAAGTCATATGATAACAGATTCTCAAGTAAAGAAGAAGTCCTCAAGTCGCGATTTCACTGTTACCTAATAGTTCCCAAGGTTCGGTTTGTCGGTATGTTACTACTGAGAAAATGATGTTACATCCTCGACACGTAATTTAACGTGGCTTTAAAAGATGGATTAATATGTCTGATGTTTATATCATTGAAAAGCTGAAGTCTTTTTTCGTATTAGGCATTTACATACTAATGTCGTTATTTATACATTTTTAATTAAGAAATCGAAAGTTATTTCCTTCAGAAGTTGTCGCTAAGTTTTATGATACTATCTAAATCGGACAAGGTATTGATTAGGTTAGATCTTAGTGTATGACCTGGTTATGTTCAGGCTGCAGACGATTTTTTATCTCTGAGTGGGACTGACGGTTTTATGGTGAGTTTGACAGAACTAGGGAACGATACATCACCTCTGATACTATCTATAGTTTAACTATGGTCATTTACTTTTATTTTTATGGATGTCATTAACCAAACCGACATCAACCTGATACAAAATCATAAATATTTACAGGTTTACAAATCGGACATGCCAAGGAATATTTGAGGTTACGAAATTCCTTGGAGTAAGTGTTTATTGGATAAAACAAATACATATGTATGTAAAAATGTACAAACAATAAGAAGTTAAATGAACCTGAATTTTGGTCACGTTTTTTTTACAAGATTGAAATTTGGAACAAAATCTAAATAAACAAAATTAGCGATAACTTCCTTGTCCTAATGAATCTTATATACCAATGGGAAAATCAGATTTCAAAACACTACATAATTATTTTGATTGTTTTAGTAATTTTATCGAATGAAAAGAAAAAGAAACGTTTTATAGTTTCCTCGGCAAAAGCATATCTTATCTCAAAGTCAATAAAAAGAAAAAAAGATGACGGGAGTTCACCAAAGTCAATATGAAAATATGTTATCGATGACGGGAGTTCACCAAAGTCAATATGAAAATATGTTTTCGATGACGGAAGTTCACCAAAGTCAATATGAAAAGATATGTTATCAGAAATTGAGGAGACCCTTACAAGGTCAACACGAAAAAGCAGTACATTAGAAGAAACTGAGGAGACACTATCAACATATGCGAGGCTATCCGAGTCAACATGCAGACACTATCAACGGGGGCTGATACATGACAATATATTCCAGGTCGAAATAACGTAATTTAGTGGGAACGGAGGGGGCACCATCAGAGGCGACTGCAAACTTCACCATACAACTGAACATCATATAGTAAAATTCCATCAATCAAAGTCAAACATAATGACAGCGAGATTTATTCGAATTGGAAGGTAGTTATGGTTTCATGACGATGAACAGTGATATCTGACAAAATATTTGGCAATCAAAAAACAAACTACCAAAATGGCAACACAATCCTATTTCAAACTCAAATTCCATAAAACTAGGGCAAAAAATGAACAAAGGAAAGATTAACACGGAGACTCCTGAAAAAAGTACAAGGACAATGAACAAAGGAAAGATTAACACGGAGACTCCTGAAAAAGTACAAGGACAATGAACAAAGGAAAGATTAACACGGAGACTCCTGAAAAAGTACAAGGACAATGAACAAAGGAAAGATTAACACGGAGACTCCTGAAAAAGTACAAGGACAATGAACAAAGGGAAGATTAACACGGAGACTCCTGAAACAGTACAAGGACAATGAAGATAGGAAAGATTTCCACTGAGTCTCCTGAAAAAGTACAAGGACAATGAACAAAGGGAAGATTAACACGGTGACTCCTGATATAGTACATGGACAATGAACAAAGGAAAGATTAACACGGAGACTCCTGAAAAAGTACAAGGACAATGAACAAAGGGAAGATTAACACGGAGACTCCTGAAAAAGTACAAGGACAATGAACAAAGGAAAGATTAACACGGAGACTCCTGAAAAAGTACAAGGACAATGAACAAAGGGAAGATTAACACGGAGACTCCTGAAAAAGTACAAGGACAATGAACAAAGGGAAGATTAACACGGAGACTCCTGAAAAAGTACAAGGACAATGAACAAAGGAAAGATTAACACGGAG